TAGAAAATCAAAACAAATAATGAATTCCAGTCTCTGTTTTGAATAAATTTGAAAAGCCAAACCTAATTTACATTCTGCAATATGACTACTTGAAAGGCTTAATACTATTCTAAATTTAAAAGATTGATCCTATTTTATGTGATTTGTTTATGTAGAGTTTATTAAAAAGTTAAAAGCCAAACAAATTTTAATATCCAAGATCTGATCTATTGTAGATAGGAAGAAAATGAAAAGATAAAAGGCTGAAAATTTTTGATTGAAAATATGCATTTTAATATCGATAAAATTTGCTGTCTAATTTAATTTATTAGATAGATTATTAAAAATTCAATTATGAGATAACAATAATTTGATAGTCTTCATGAGATCAATTTATTTATGTTTTGTTTTTATAGTTCAAAAATGTTGATAAAATTATTAAGACAAGAAAAGAAATATTTAATTGCTCATAAAATAGTTAGTAAAGAAATTTGATCGGTAAATATCATGTAATAATATTGAGGAATGATTTTAAAATTTACGTTTAGCAGGATGAAAGGTTATACATCTTGATGATTTAGTTTAAGATAAAGGGGAGAAGTATGCTGTAGAAAATTGTTAGGAATGTATCAATAGATAAAATAGGGAATACTATTTGTAATATTCTTAAGGAATGTTTTAGTGATTAAATGTGAAGTGATATAATAAGAAGTGCTTTGTATAATGAGTGTGGATGATTCAGAAGAGTGATTTGATAAAATTATGAGTTTGAAAGAGTTGATTGTAATGGTAGTAAGGATTGAGAATTGGTAAATAATATATACATTGAATATTATATATTAATAAAGAAAAATGCAATAATATTAGGAATTAAGTTTTGGGCAAGTATTGTCGATAGAGATTGCAAAGATAGGAGACAAGAAGAATTTGTTTGGAACAAAAGCATTGATAATGGTGATGATAAACTTTGTCTCATTGATGAGTTTTAGTTTGAAATTTGAAAAAAACTAAGGATATGAATATTTTACACATGTACAATAAGTTTAATATAGTAGTTTTTAAGTGTATTCACTCGACCACCAAATGTATTGTTAATACCAATGTGTATTTTAGTATTGTTGTTATACTTATTTGCATATGGTTGTCTGTTATGGATGTCGTATTGGCAATATAGGAGTCAAAACAAGATGACGATGTCGAAAAACAAATTCAAGAGATTACACATCGTGCTGTCGTTAGGGAGTGAAATTGCAGTGTGGCTTAGCTGTCCAATTGTAGACACTTGATTAAATTCTAGTTATCTATAAACTTGGGGTTGTTCAATAAGCAAAGTAGTGCCTGGAGTGCAGTGCCAATCGTAAACATTTTTCTGCACTCTATTATTGTGCTAATTTACTTCTATTTCTATCGTAGTTATCAATTCAATTAATTGGGATTATACAGGACATTTAATATGGCATCATATTGTTACTATCTAATTGTTATATTTATAGTAGCAATAGATTGGAACACTGATTTGCAGATTCAACCATTTATTTTATGGCTGCTAAGTATTTTCTAATTGATTGACATTATATTGTTTTTGCCATACAAGGTGACATTTGAAAACCAAATGTATTTGTTTGGATGTGCAGCATTATTCACAGTTTCTTCATTGGGTTCTCTCTCATAAATAACATCCTATATAAATGAAAACAACATCTTTGAGACCTTCCTCTTAGCTTTTCCTATATTCTTTTACTTATTTAAATAACTTTAAGCTTGGAAATGGAAGGACTTAATTTTATATATGCGAACTGGCTCCATGAAATAGATGGACATAAAAAAGCTTTGTTCATCTATTGAAGCACTAGTATGGTATGTCGAATAAGCCAGAATAGATTCATATTTATTTTTTCTTTCACTTTTTGTTTTGAAATACCATACTCAAAACTGTAATGATCCTAGTTGTGAATGCAAAGAAGAATTATCTAAATCCAACTCTTAAAATGCAGAAAGTATGACTCATAGATCATCATTTCAATCTAAAACTGCTCTATTAAGTAATGGCGATAAAAACAGCAATCCTTAAAATATTTCACAAAATTTGGATGTGAGTCAATTTCAAAAGACCATTAAAGATGGTAGTCGTAAAAATGATTCTTTTGTTGGTGCCTAAGCACAATATGAACAAGTCATTAAACCAACAAAAGCTATAATATTTCAACCTATGAAATTTGTCTAGAATAATGTCATTAATGAAGATCTCATATCATAATATGTCAAAAGGTAGTTTCATTAAACTATTTAACAATTGTCATTTTCTTTGCATCTGGATGAAGTCGAATATTTATCATTAAAGTACATTTCATTTATGTTTTCCTTTAAGTAAAATAGTCTGTCATCTCTAACAAAACTTAAACAAATTCAAAGTAGAACTGTTTAATTTTCTTATTTCTTTAGAAATGTTACCAAAGTAACTGAATCGTAATTTATTGATGCTCTCAAATTAAAACATTAAGAAGACAAAAATTCATTTGAAGATTAAGTCAAAATGAATGTTACGGAAATTTGGAGATTAGAGATAGTTAAAGATGACATAGTAAAAAACATAGTTTCTGTATTGAGAAAAAAGATAGCATTATGGGAAGACTTATGCTCTGGTGATATATAGAATATGGATCGATTCTTAGATGATATAATGAAAATCTCACTTTAGATAGAATTAAGTCGTCAAAGAGTCGATATGATACTTAGCGACTTTACAAACTAAGTTCAAAGAAACTATAGTTATTATCTAAAATATTAATGTTTTAGATCTCTCTTCTTTGATTCAGATTATAAATAAGCTGTTCTATTCTAAAGAAAAGTAGAAGATTCATGGTAATTGAGTAGAGCTGCTCATAAGTAAGGTTAGATTGGCAATTTTCAATGGCTTTCAGGAGATTTAGTAACCTTAGAAGTAAGTGCTGGAGTTTAAAGTGGTCAAATCATTAAAGGTGTTTCCAATAGACTTGTCGATATGTTAGGGTACGCAAATTATGAAGATATGATACAAAACTTACGTATCAGAGGATTATAATCCTCTCATTAAAGTTAGAATTCAGATAAACTATAAATTTCTAGTATTATGCCTCCATATTTGACTGCTTCTCATAATTATTTTATTTCAAGATTTATTCATAGAGGTTACACTTATTATTATGATAAACCTATTAGTTCTTATGGTTGTGATGCCTAAGGCTTTGTTTTTCCTGTCAATATCAATTTGTCATTTAATTTTTAAAATCTTTCTGACTTCACACTCTTAGGATCTATTTTAAAAATTAAAGATGATGATGAATATCTTATATTTGATGAATGGGGTCGTATTTTGGGAGTCTCCATTCATACTTTTGATAAATTAATATTGAAAGGAGCTTTAGATGAATTTGGAATGGTAAAATTCAAATCAATCAATTAAAAACTAGAAAAACTTGGACATCTCAAAAATGCCTTACTTAATAAAATTGCAAGAGATGATAATGCTAAATTATTCAAAAAAACTATTACAATGCATTAAAAACAAGGTACTACCAAAAGTCAATTAAAAAGAACATATCAAAAACCTTCTGATATTTTATTATAATTTGGAAGTATTTAACACTTTTTACCATAAGTTGGAAAATCTATTACAGATTTACTTGCTAAAGATATATTTAAAAAATTATAAAGAGAATCTTAAGAATAATTTAATAAACTAACAGACAATTAAAAGGTATAAGAGGTAAAACAATAAAATAACAACAAAGTTTTTGAAAAATAAGCAAGCAATATCTTCTAAAGATAAATTAGTTAATTTATTGACCGCTAATAGAGTTTAAATTAAGGTGGGTTGTCAAGCGCTATGCTTGATAAGGATTAATATAGAAACTTTATAATGAATAATTTTATTGACGAAAAGGGATTGATGAAAAAGAATATGTCTTTATTATAGGATGAAAAACTTGTACTTTATGCACCCAGAAATTATAATGAATTGATTGAATATTTTAATGATGCTGGTGAACGATTTATGGAAAGTAAAAATGATATGGAAACTAAATCTATTCGTAGATAATAAATGTAAAATAAATATTCGTACATAAAATAACAATAGAATTGTTATCATTTATTTGATGCAGAATTCTAAGATTTTATTGATAATAAAGTCAGAAAATATTATTCTAAAGCCTTATTAAAAGAAGCCCTTGAAACACATGATGCCAAACTACTTTAATAAGTCAGGTACAAGTGTGTATCATCAATTGATGTAGGAGTAGGTGGGATAAGTGACAAAGATTAATTTTTATATTTTGTGTGTAAACTATCATCATTAAATTTGTAAACGGCAAAAAGAAAAGATGTTTTAAAAATTCATATGAAGAAAGAAAAAAATTAATAATTTGATGGTGGGGAAGAACTAAGAAAAAGTTTGATTCAGTAGGCTTCATCAATAGATTCCTTTGATAAAGAGAAACCAAGGAAATCTTTATCAATTCAATAATAGGAAAGTTTCGGTCCTCCTTAATAATAAATAAAATATAAAGGAGAAATTGATCAGCCAATTATAGTCACTTTAGCTATTCCAGATAGCAGAAAATATATGTCTTCACTTGATAGAGATGATGGTCCAAATATGAAGGTGAATTTTGAAGCTCAAAATTAAAAATTAAATGAATCATCATTTGATATAGAAAATTCGATGAAAGAAAGCTTAATTTAAAATGGTGGTAATCATTCAATGACTTAATCATTGAATTTAAATGTCCCTTAATTAATGAGATAAAACTCAGTTGAAAAAATGAAATAAATGCAAAATACAAGTAAAGAATATTTAAAAGAACAATCAAGTAGTCTTTCTGAAAAAAAAGAGGAACCACCCAAGAAAAAACTTAAATTATCATTTTTAAGAAAGATGGAAAAAGCTTTAGTTCCAAAAGAGCCTCCTTCTGGTACTCCTACAACTCCTAATGCTCCCCCATCATTTTTATAACCAATTCAATAATAATAATAATAATAATAACCAGAAAAATAAGCATCTTCTCTTTCTGTTCCTGAAGAAAAAAAGAATTCCTTTTTAAGTCCAACAGGCTTATTTGCTAAATTATTTGGAAGATTAAATCTAAGAAGAGTATCAAATATTGAAATAAAAAATGATTAATTTGAATCATAAGAGTAAGGTTTTAGAGAAAATTCTGAAAATTCTGAAAAAGAAGACATGAAAAGAAGCGGAAATAGTACTCCATCAGGAACTAATTCAATGTCTAGTAATAATATCACAAGTTAAGGAGATTAAAAAGAGGATGATGAAGAATTAAATAATGATGATGAATTAGTAAATATTTTTGAAGTAATGAGTTAAGCTTCTAATCATTAATCAATTAAATCTATTTCTGCTATTTCTATGGCTACTCACATTTCATTAAGATGTCTTAAATATTAACCAAGGTAAGCTAAATCACTCTAAATATTTAAAATTATTTTAATAATTTTAAATATTTCATGTATAATTAGCTTATTATTAACAACACAAAATTATTTTGATAATTTAAGTGTGGATAATCTAAGTATGAGAATCAATAATCAATATCGTTATTCAGCTATAGTTCTTTAATCTTCTAATTCTATTGATCAGCAATCCTTAATTAAATTCGATCAGATTCCTAATATAACCAAAATGAATCAAATTATCTCCTATTGCTTTAATCTTAGTCTAAATATAAGTCAATCATATTTTGATGTTATTGAATCCATCTAAAATGCTGTTTCATTTCCATTACCTTAACCTGATGTATTACTAATTCCAAATGACTACTAAATTGCTTCCCTTTAATAGTTCTTAACTTAGTAAAAAATAGAAATTGATTCTATCCAATAAATTAATGCATATAATAGAAGTGATCTTGCATTTAAATAATTATATAATAAATCCATTGATTATCTACTGAACAGACTAGTTTTTACTTAATCCTAGATTAATTATATGAGTAATCAGTTGAGAACTAGCAAAAATAACAATGTTCTCAATAAGGCTCTAATTGTAACATATTTAATGGCTAGTTTTGGTGGTCTACATTTAATTGTTATTCTTTTGATTGTCCCATTTATAAAATAAATTAACAACATATATTTTCGAGTCCTCTCTATTGTTAGTAGAGTTACTTAGGAAGAAGCTGAGGATGAAATCAAAAAATTAACACTATCTTAGCATTTACTAGAAACATAAGATGATTCATGGGTTACATAAAACTAAATTAAGCTAATCTTTTATAATAAAAGTAAAGATATTGATTTAAATGAAAAATACACTAAAAATGGTAGTATCAAAGCAAAAGGAAAAGAAAGTTCATACTTTTTTTCCAAATTAAGTGATTCTACTCTAAGCATTTGGAAAGACATGGGATTATACATCATGATTTCATCAATTTCTATTGGATATTTAATTTTTTCGATTATTATTATTCAAACCTAAATTAACACTTTTACTCCTTTTATTGACAATTTTGATTAAACTGTTAGCACAAGTGTGTATAGTACAAGCTTAATTTCAAAATTATCCATCACTCCTTAAAGATATTTAAATTTATAGCCTAATAGTATTCCAACTTAATTTACTTTGTTGAATTTCTAATAAAATCAATAGATTTCATACTTTCTTTAAACAATTTCCTCTGATACTAATTAAATTAAATCATATATCACGGATATGTCAAAATTTTTAGAGTAATTAAATTTAGATTATGGATATGATTCAAATTCTTCTAAAATTAATATTTCTTCTTAAAATTATCAATCAAGGATATCCTATATATAATAATTAAGTGTACTAAGTGAAATTAATCATTTATTAAAGGATAACATATGTTATTATTCAGCAGAGACACTTTGTCAAGAATCAGCATAATTTGATTATTTTAATACAGGTTTAATGGGAGCCTTAGATGTCCTTTAAAAAATGTAATTTAGCTATTAAACATTTTTAAATGAGTATCATTAAATTTAATATTCAGATTAATCAGATAATACACAATAAATCAACAATTACTATAATACTTAAGATTACAAATTTTTAGTTATGTATGGATAAGAATTAATCTTCAAAACTTTTGATAGATTAATATTATTATTGGAAACATTTTTGAATGATGAAAAACAATCAAAAAATTTATTGATACAAAATTTATTTATAGGTATCGGTATACCCATAATGTTGATGACAATGCTTTTGGCTGCCCTGGAGATGATTTTACTCAAGAAAAAAGTTAGGAGAGTAATGTTATCTCTTACTTTCCTCCCTACATTTAAGTTTTAGGATAAGATTGTACTCTCCCTCATTAAGGCTATCCTTAAAATTTGAAATAAGGAATTTAATTTTATAAAGAATCTTATTCAGTTAAATTCGCAAATCAATTTTATATCTTATATTTATATATTTATATAATTTACAAGGCTTGGAATTATACTTCAATTTTTCTCAATTAAAAAAGAAACAATTTCAAAAATTAAATTTCTAAATAGAAAATCCTCACTTTTTTTTTCTTCTTACATAAGAAAAAGACATCTTGATGAATAAACAGAAATATGATTATTAATTTTTTAAATAAAAAACTTAAATTGAGATTATCATATATAGAGATTACAATCATTTCTTAAATTTTTTAATTCCTAAAATGCCCCCAATTGATAGTTTATTTTTATTGATAGCTTTTAAACCTATCCTTTTTTATCCAGGTTTTAAAATCCCAATAACGAAATGATACTTTAAAATGTTTTAAGTACCCATTTCACTTTCCACTGATGGAGCTTCATTATAAGTAGTTTCAATTGAAGTCCTTTTGCTCCATAAACTCATTGAACTTTTATCGCCATTCTCTTATTGCTTTTCCATTATCTTAATTTTTTTAATTTTGATGACTGAGAGAAAATTAAATATTAGTATTGAAATTATATTATATCATACAACCATAATGCGTCAGGTCTTATAATATTTTATTTTATTATGTATTCAAATTCAAGATCCAAAAATTTTTTAATAATTTATTACATTATGTTTATAATGATTTCGAATCATTTGGAATTTAAGATTTAGAATTTAAATATTTAATATTTTCTTCGAATTTTATTTCAAAATAAGAATAAAAGGCATCATTTTGTTTAAATGAAAAATAATAATGGATATCAAAACAAAATTACATTGATTCAGATATTCCTCCTCTATATTGTATAATTTAATTTATTATCACATTATATTCAAATCAATTCATATAAAAAATATTTCATCAGTATTGTAAATTTGTTCTGTATATTTATATTGTCTATTTTTATTGTATATTTATATTATGTATTTTTTTGGATCATAGAAAGTAGTGAATAGTAATTTTTACACTCTATATTTAATATTTTCATAAGAATTCATATGTAAATTATTTCAATGGATTCTTTTGCGTATAATATAAGACATTGATTTGAATTATGTAAATTATAAAAACTTGTTTTTAATCTAAAGAGATAAAGGCTTGACTGTAGAAAAGATTAGTATATTTATGATTTATAATTTTTATAAAATAATAAACTGAATGTCTTCAAAAGATAAAGATAAAAAGAAGAAAGCGAGTAAGTTGGAAAAAAAAGAGACAAAAGTAATTAATCCATCTGAATTAGAATCATCTTAATTAATAGCTAGAGTTACTAATAGATTAGGTGATAAAGAAACTAAAAATATTGGTAATACTTTAATTAAAAATAAGCCAATAATGAGGATGATCCTTATACAAAAACTTTCACATCATTTAATACTGATGATGGAGCTTAAATAAATAATTTTTCTGGAATTCAAAATCAATATTAATTAAGTTATAATAATCTAAGAAGCTCAGATTAAAATACAAACCAATTAAAATCAGAATCAATTTAAGAGTATCGTAATCAATTTAATTAAAATCCTTATTATTAATAATAATAAATATCAACCTAATAAAATTATGATCAACATTATCATTAGGATTATAATAAAATTTATTAAGAATAAAGAGATTATAGATATGATCAATTGAGGAATTAAGTAAATTTAAGCTTGTTGCCTAAGAGATAAGAAATTTTATAATAAATTAAAAAGGTTAGTACTTTTATATGATTAGATAGAGAATAGGATAGGAGACATCAAATATTAAACCTAAAAAATTGAAAATACTACTAGAGAAGAGTGCTAACTTATAATTGATAGATTAAAATATGCAGAATATTAAATGCTTTATAGTTTATATTAAGATAAATAGGAACTTATAAGGTATACATTTAATAATATATATTCAAAGTAATATTGAATAAATTGATGAAATATCATCTCGTATTTTATACAATAGTGAATAAATACTTTAAACAAATTATTTGTATAATATAGAGAGATTAGCTTCTATAAGAATTAAAAATTAAATTGATATTTATTCTAATGATTTGCCTTAAGAAATCTTTTAATTAAAATAATTATAATTATAGAATAAAAATTTATAAAAACTGATGGATTTTAAGAATGAAGTTATATGGAAATTAATAAGTGATTCTAAAATAGATTAATTAAAAATTAAAAAAGATTTAGAGAGAGAAGATAATAATGAGATTTAGAAATGTTATAATTTAGTGAATTAATAATAATAAGAATTAAGTAAATATAAACTTTAATGTATATTTTGTGGAATTAATTTTGATTATCAATAAATTAATACAAATTGTGATTAAAATTTTTAAGATGCAAGTTTATTTATTATATTAAATAGAACTTTAATTTGAATGTTAAGAGACTCCTTAAAAAGAATTTATCGGTACTTAGAGACATTTTTTTAGCAAAAATTAGAATCTTTAGCAATTATGATTGCATTACTAAAATAAAAAAGTATGATAAATTAATAGTATAAAATCATTTATTAAAATTTTTAATTCTAATTTCTTTGAAACCTAAAATTACATTTTCATCAAAGCCTCCATAAATTCTTTCTGTTTCTTATTAGAGCGTATTTTAATATATAGGTAATTATGGTTATTATTATTGTTATGACTCATGACTTTATCTAGAAACATGATGACCTGTTAAATTATCTTAAAACCTGATATCAGTTGTTCTTCTTGAACTAAAACCATCAGAAACAAAATCAGTTTGGCGACTAAATTTAATTAAATTACATACAATTATGGACTATAGTATTCTAAATCTATTGTCATTTCATCACTTTCTGTAAAATCATCTTATCTTCTGATAATTTTTTAAACTAATAACTTTGAGTATGATTACCATGTCTTAAATAAGATTAAAACATTTAGATAATCATGAAGAATATTAAAATTAGATTTAAATTAGAAATTAGTAAGATATAAATTATTCCTTTTATAAGCCTTATTTCTTCTATAATATATTAATCTAATTTGCATTTCTTTATTGAATTATTTGATCTTTCTAATTGATTCTTAAGGTCCCTCCTTAAAAATATCATCATGATAACAACATCTAAATAAATGATACAATAATTAATTATATTGAATATAGCCATATGGATCACTATTATTTTATTATATAAAATATACATACCTTCTAAGATTTAATTTTGATGCTAATTTTGCAGCATCCCATAAATTATCTTCTTTTCCTCCTCCTAAAGGTTAACCAATATCTAATAAGAATCGACATAAGAATTTATAGTGCATACTTTAACCATTATTATCAGCTGAATATTTACACCATGTAGTTTTTATTTTATCAATTTATTCAACGTATGTCTAAATCATTGAATTTTAAACCTAAAAGAATTCTTCAAATTATTCTATCAAACCTAGAACAAATAAATTTAATAGAACATAATTCGAAAATAACATAAAAGTAATGAAATATAATTAATTGAAATCTGATCCACAATAATCTGGATTCTCAAAACAAAATGGATTATGATGCATAGTATCAGTCATTATTGTTCTAAAATCATCTCCTGATGCACATTTATATAATGCTAATAAAGCATATTCAAAGTTTGTAAAATTTATATATTCATCAATAACTGCTCCTTTTTTTATTTTCCCAAATAATTAACAACCAATTAATGCATAAATAACCATTGTGATAATTAGAATTGATATAAGTTTAGCTAAAAAAGGTAAAGCAAAACCCATGACTCTAAACAATCTTTATAAATTACTTAAACCTTGAAATATTACTAATAATCTTAATTATCTAGTCATAAATGCTAATCTCAATATTTGGTAATTTTATGAATATACATTTGACTCATAATAATGGATAACCCAATCATATTGGATATCAGCAACCACATCAATAATTGATATGAGTATTAAAAAAATATAATATCTTCTCCAATAATTATCAAAATATCTATTAATACCTAATTACATAAATAGTAAAATAATCCAAATACCATAAAAAAGAATTAGAAATCTTTAAATTAGATTAATATTTCTGATTTATTCTTACTCCATATCATTATGATATTACAATTGACAAATCAAATCAATCAATAGTAATAAAAACATGAATTATTAACTAATTAAATTATTTACTATAAATGATGATAATCTTCTAAAAAGTCTAGTTGGTGGAGTTGAAAAACCAGGAGAATCTTTTAAAATGATAGGACATAATTCAACAAATTCTTTTTAAAATCTAGTCATATTTTACATTTCTATTTTTTATTAATTGACTCTTAATTTAGAGAATAAAGTGCCTGTAAAAAAACTAAGAAAAAACATAGAACCAATAAAACAAAATGACATAAAATATGCATATGTAGATAAATAAGAAGCAAATGCAGCAGGTCCTTAATTACTTTATCTACTATTTTCAGCTACTTACATAATTTCTCCCCATCCATCAAAAGTTGATACTACAAATAAAGTTGGTAAAGCTATTGTTATATTATCAAAATTATGTTTATAATTAATCCATTTTTTATTATTTTCATTACAGACAGATTAATTAACATTGAATTACATTTTATCTTCACAAAAACCAAATTAACTTTCATATAAAATTATACCAAATACACCAAACATTATCCAAACAGAAATTAATGTTAAAAGTATTTTTATCATATCCAATAATGATAAAGCTAAAGCAGCTCTAATATTTTCAAGCCATTTAATTCTATACATAAGTTTCATAGGTCTCAAATGTCCAAAAAATAAACAGATATCTATTATTGGATTTTATTTATAAGTATCAACAAAAAAAGCAAATAAATAAATTAGATCTACGATTTACCAAGAATAATTTAAATAACTACCCTTATCCATAAATAATCCTTTAGCTATTATTGAAATAATATCTTCTAAGAATTTAAATACATTCAAAATTGATAATATTATATACGGATATGAACTCTTTTAATCTTCGTAATCATGATAAGTTCTTACTATCATAAGAAATATAGAAGAAACTAACACAATATTAGAAAACCATAAAAATATTTAAGATGTACATATATTACAACAAATAACTCTAATTTAGCTATTTTTAGTAAAGAAATACAAGGCAGTTTCACATTCTATATCTTAATATAATTTTGGATTTGCCATCATAATCTATTTGCTTAATTACTCTAATATAGATAGTAGTTTATACTTAAAGATTTTTAAAAAGTTTTGATTATATCTAATTTAACTTGTGGTTATTCTTTATCTTCAATTTATTCAAAAATCTAATTATATGAAAAGTATTATGATTTAACTTTTAAATCATGCATAGAATCTATTTCTGTATTTTGAATTTCCTCTTCTAAATTACTTGAATTTTGATTTTATAATATTTATTTTTCATTACAATCATCTTCATTTTTTTCTTCTAAATATCTTCCAAATCCATCTAATAAAATTGCTAATACTAAACCATAAGTTAAATAGTTTAAAATTAAAACCATAGAAAATGAAAAAATAATAGCAGCTGTTAAATTTAATTAAGATCCTATAACATATACTCCATACCAATCATCATTTGTCATAATATTAAAAATAGTCATTCCAGCTTTTAATGGATTATCAAACGAATGTAATTATCCTAATGGATCATTTTAATCAAATTATCCAGCATAAAGATCCATTCCAATCAAACCATAGATGGTTATCATAATAAACATAAATATAGTTAAATAAATATATTATTTAAATGTTATTGATGCTATCTTACCAATAAGTACAGCCATTTAATTATATTTTAAACATCTATAAAATAAAATACATTTAGTTCCTCTTATCATTCTTAAATATTACTATGTTAAATGTAAATATTCACTAAAACTAAATTCAATAAAACTAGCAATCATAATTGTAGCTTGTAATACATTTTCTTTACTTGAAAAAAACCTTTTCAATGGAAAAGTAAACATTTAAATACCGATTTCTATTAATAAAAATATAGTTGAAATATCTTCACATTTTGATATTAAACTAGCATCTGCTATTCCATATAATGATAAAAACATAAAGTTAATAAGAATTATAAAATCAAAGAAAAATTAAGTTATTTTATTATCAATAAAAATAAGAGTATATCTTCTTAAAATAAGTAATTTTCCACCAAGAGTTCTCATCCATATTAAAGCATTATAATTGTTTAGACTATTGAAGATATCTTGAAACTACTACATTCGAATATGATTCAATTATAAAACATTATTACCTGACCAATTTTTTGACTTGATAATCTTTTATTCTCTTTCTCTTTAAAATATTTGTAAATATTTTTCTTCATTTGATTCTACTATTTATTTTGTTTTTGGTATTTTTGTATTTATTTTTTCTTGTATTTAGTCATAATCTATATAAAAACCATGAATGTATAAATATTTCCTCATTCCTTTTATTAGTTCAAATGGCATTTTTCTTTCAACTCTATATCTTATATTTTCATTTCCAAATAAATCATTTTATCTTGATCTTATTTATGGTGATTATGATCCATGACTATCATCTTTAATACTAAAAGATCTTTATATTGTTATTCTTCTTGTACTCTTATGTATTGGATAACGACTTTAGGATGCATCTGATTATTAACGTGGTACAATTTTTATTTCTTACTTTGTAAACATTGGTTAATAATATATTTTTATTTTAACTTTATGTCCAATTCTATAATCTAAATCCATATATACCTCTTTTTTTATACCAATACATCTTTTGAACTTTTAAATTTCTAATCCACATTATGATTCACTGAATTATTAAATTAAGTAAATTAATATTCACTTAATTTCAAAAGTATAGATATTTCTATTGGATCATCAGAATACATCTTTATATTTATTTTATTTTATTCTATTTATAAAGCCTTAAATTTTGGCAAAAGCCATTATTTAATTGAAAAATGTTTAAATTAATTCCAAAAAGATTTCTTTTAATATTTCTAAAATTATTTAATTAAATACCTACTTTGCTTCATCTATTATCTTTTTTTATTTAGATGACAATAATCTCAATTAATTATTTATTTTTTCATTCTTATATTCCTCATCACTTTATTCCATTAAAGGATTATTAGTATTAAGTAAAAGTTTATGTCTTTTCAATACAGAATAAAAACCAATATATCTCAGGAATGATAAATCATAATATGAAATCACATCTTTACTTAAAAACATCTCCTATCTTATCAAACTATGATCATTTTTTTATTTTGATAATTTTTCATAATCCTCACATTCAACTGTTGCCTCTGAATAATGAATTTTAAGAACAGCTATCATTAAATTGATAGAAAAAAAACCACATAAAAAAATAATTCCTAAATAATATATCCATATTTAAGGATGAAATATTCTCATGGTAAAAAACATCACCCAACTCCAATCATCCATTGTTATTGTTCTTAAAATTTATCCAAAAGAAAATATCACATTATTAAAAGATGTTGGCAATTTAGGCGTTTCTGATGAGAAAATACAAATCATTCCATCTGGACAAATATTTTAATAACATTAAACCCATTCATCAATTTTCTCTCCAACCATAGGTTAGCATCGATAATTAAATAATCCTTAAAATAATGATACTCCAATTATTGAAAACAAGAGTGATAATATAAGTAAAATAAAAATAGCTTCAGCTAAGAATATTAATGATTTTTTAAGAGCTATTAACATATATTTAAGTCTAAGTAATCCATCTCCCAAATATAATAATATAGTGATAATTCTTAATGGGGAAAGATCAAAAGATATACTTTAAGGATAAAAATAATGCAAGAAGCTAATTAATGTGCATACTAAATTAAACATATCTTCTTTGCTATGTAAAAAATGTATGGTTGGACAAATGCCTCCAGCTGCAATAATTCTAATAGCAATTTCAACAGCAAAACAATAAAATATAAATTATTTGTATTATTCATTTGTAACTGGTGGATATTAGTTGCTTAATGTAAAAAATGTTAAATTACAAATAATGAGAATACCATTAATAATTTTAAATTAAACACTATCTAAGATTCTTTAAAAATACATAGGTATACATAAAGATGAATAAACAATGTATTTTCTTATTTTTAGAAAATTAAGATGGTCATTGTAATTCTAAAATAAATTGAATTTTATTACATCTAATTCATATCTAAGTCGTTCTAAGCCATGGAGTGGTATAAGTACAACATAATATGGATCTTCAAATGGATTACGTTCAGCATGTTTTTAATATTTTTTGAGTATTCTTGGATCAACCTCCTCCTAAAAATCTTGTTTTTCTTCAATAGGGTGAACTGATAATCCATTTATAAAGCTTCTATTCTCAAAAGAATCTTAATCTCTAGAAAGTAAGTTATCTTATGAATTCATATCACTTATCAGGCTCTAATCACCTAAGCATTTTTTGATATTTTTGATAAAATAATGCTACTTATTCTATGCATGCTCTAGATCAGAAGATTAATGACAACTTAATTATTCTGGTTGTTAATGAGAAAACATTAGCCCTTCTTTAAAACTCAAATTAGGTACTGCTATTTTTTTTTCTTCTATGTCTGATTTTTCATCAACATTATCGCATTCACTCGATTCTGAAGAGTTATCCTCATTTTTTTTCTAAGGCTAAAAACTTTTTGAAGACTTCAATATTGTTTATTGACGATGTTATTTAAGACTCTTCATCTCCCTAAAATATTTTGTTGGACTTTTTTTCTTCATTTGATTAGATATAGTAAATCTTTGACTCTTTTGTTTTCTTAATTCCTACTATTAACTTTAACACTTCTGCGGTGATTAATTTTCTTTTGCAAGCATGTTTATATATGAAAAATTAATATAATTTTAATCATTTAAATTATCTATTGTTATATCGGTTTACTCTATTTTTTATTTTATTCAAATACAGAATAATAATTAGGTCACTTGAATAACAATAAGATTTATAAATTCTATAAATTATTTTAATAACCTAATTTAAGTAAATTTAATTACATTTCATTTCAAAATAATCTAATCTACTGCATATAAGTTATGTTTTAGAATTGATAATTTTCATTCCAAAATTATTAAAATATTTCATCTTTAAATGAATTATATTAAAATTGTTAAATAATTAAACAATTTAATTAAAAATTTACTTTTTAACATCTTAATTAATTATATCTATCTTCATTTTATCTTTTTAACTTATACATATATTTTTTTTAAAATCACAATTTATTTTATTATAAAAATAAATTAATTCATAATATTTATTTTTTTTTATTACTATTATTTTATGGAACTAGAAAATATGTCCAAATCAACTTATATTTTAAATTAATTGCAAATAAATTACTAATCAGTTTTAAAAGGTTAAAAAATAGAATTAGATATTTAAGAAAGCAATAGGTTTTCTAAACCTATAACCAATAACTAGAATGAAAAATCATAAAATTCTGATAATTATTGTCATAAATTTTTGAGTATATCAAAGATATTAAATAAAGAACAATTAAATGATTATATTTTTATAGAAGCAATAAAGAATATTTAAAATTAAACAGGAAAGGTTAAGGTTATAGGTAAAATTAGTAAAGCTATGAAATTGAAACCTTATTATTTTTAATAGTATACTCAAATAAAAATATCAGGTATATAAAAATTATATAGAAGATTAAATTTAGAATGAAAATTCATGTTATTTAGAGGATAAATCAGGCAGAATCAAATTATAATTAACAAATAGTAAGCTTTGTCTACCAAATAAAACTTGGAAAGAGATAAGAATTGATGATTTAATAGCAGGAATACTTGTTTTAATTGAAGGATAAATAGTTGGAAATAATATTGTTAATGTAGAAAATATTTATTTGCCTGATTATATTGATCCTCCTATTTACACTCCATTAAATTAAACATCGTATGTTTGTTTTATATCTGGATTAAATTATGATGTGCAAAATGATTTGACAAAATTGAGACATTTAATACAATTTTTGTAAGGAAACTTATATTGTGGTCAAGGCAATGAAGTATATAAAACTATTAGATATATAGATTTCCTAAAATTTATCATAAATTATCATAGCAGGTAATTTATATGGAAGATAAGGAGATAAAAAAGGCTGTTTAACAGGTTCAATAAAAAAGGAATAAGATTTTAAGGATCTTTATTCTTCAATATAAGAAAATGTTAGAGGAGTAGATGAATTAATAAATGAACTATCAAGTATTTGTCCAATTGCTATAATGCCTGGATAAAATGAACCTGTATCATAGATGTTTCCTTAAGCTCCTCTTTAAAGAGCTCATTTTGGTGAATCTTTTGAAATTAATACTAAGGTTACATTTTTAACAAATCCAACAGAATTTAGTATGGGAAACATTAAATTTCTTGGAACAAGTGGATAAAATATTGAAGACATTAAAAAATATTCAACTATAAAATAATAATTAGATATTGATTTGATTGAAATGACTTTATTTTATGGACATATTGCCCCTACATTATAAGATACTCTAATGTAAAAAAAATTGTATAACTTTTATTTAGTTCATAACTGTAATTTAAAAATGATCCATTTATTATTTAATAGTTTCCTAACATTTATTTTGTTGGAAATATGAAAAAGTTTGGAACAAAAAGAATATCAGAAAACTTAAGAATTATTAGTATTCCTTCATTTTTAGAGACTAATACAATTAGTTTATTGAATTTAAGGACATTTGAATGTTTTTCATTAGAAATCAAATGAAATAAAAAAAAGAAGTAATTTAAATATATTTTTTTGTTTAAATAATGATTACTAATATATTAATAATATAATAAAGTAAATATGATTTTTGATAAAATAAATGTAATATTGAATTTGTAAATAATCATGAGTTTAATGACTGTTTGAATTATTTATTTAAAATTCAAAAAAATGGATAATTATAAGAAATACCTCTTTGATGAGAAATTTTAAGAACCTTAACCTCGTAATACTTACTCATTTTAAGCATAAGAAAGTTAAGAGGAGTAATAAATAGAATCAAACTTTGATGATGAGTATAAAAGAGATTTCTTATAAAACTAAATAAAAAATGTAAAAGAAAAACTAATAATGATGGGTTTTCCACCTTTGGGAGATTTATATAGTAATAATAATTCTGAAGTAGATCTTACTGTAAAATTGTAATTAGAAATTAATATTTTTTTTATAGATTAGTGGCAATTATTAAATAAAGAAGAGAGGATATGGATTTTAAAAATAGTTATCATGAGAAAATGAGTAAACTAGAAGCTGAAAAATAATAATTATCTTAGAATTTAGATAGGGTTAGTAATAGTCGTAAAATTCTTGAATAAGAAAATAATAATTTATAGGCAAAAATAAAAAGTGTTGAGAAAGTATAAAAAGAATAAGTGTATAAATTATTACTAAAATTAGAAACAAATTAATAACAGAGAAAGAAGATTATTAAAAATAATTATCTAAATTATAAAGTCGTTCAACGTAATTTGAACATGAATTAAAATAGCGTGATCTTGAAATATAAAAGATTAAAGAACATATAAAAAAATAATAAGTTTCTAAAACATATAAGAATAGTGTAGAGATTACATAACCTATAGAATAAGGAGGACCTAGTTTATTTGTTGCAAATGGAGAATATGAATTTAGTTAATTAGTAATGAAAAAATGGGAAGAAGTTAATAATAAACTTTTAAGAGAGAATGAATAATTGAGAGAAAATTTAATAAAGATTCATAATGAATTAGGAGAAATTCTTTAAATAAGAAGAGAAGTTTATATAAAGAGAAGAAAAATTGATTTTGGAGATGAAAACATTCCTTAAGATTTAGACAATCCTTTATAAAATATGCATCAATTTAAAACTGATTTATATAAGGCTCCACTAGAAAGTAATGGAAAATAAGCTATTTAAATGCTTACAGATAATTTATAGACCTTTAAGGAATTAATGAAGAAGTTTGATTAATAATATGAGTTATAATTGAATGAAGATGATATTGAAATAGAAGGAGAAGGAGGAAAAATAAAGGCTTGTAAAAATCTAACAGAATTATTCAAAAATTATAATTACATATTTGATGCTTAAGATAAAATGATTAGTTAAATTATCAATAAGAGTTAAAATTTAAAGAAAATAGATGAATTGAACTTTAATCTTAATAGATTCAATAGAGTATTAGATGATAGATAGATTGATGATGTAAAAAAATATTTATAAGATTAAAAAAAATATTTGGATGAATCAAAAAATGAAATGGATATGATTAAGAAATAATTTTAATAGTAATTGAAAAAAAGAGAAGAAGAAAAATAAATAATTTAAGTATTAAAATTAAGTTTTATATTGTTTAGATGAAAAGATAAATGCTTGAAGAGACAAATGAGAAGTTTAAAGAAAATATTAGATTATTAGAAAATGCAAGTAGATAGGCTCTTTAATAACTTAATTAAGAAAATAAGTGATATCAAATTAAAAATATAATTTATCACAATTTCATTAATATATGTATTTATAATAAACAAGATATTTGATACTAACATCTTATTTTGTGTTCCAAAATTAAGATCAGTAAATTATACAGGATTTTATTTTGTTTGATCAAAGTTATAACAAAACTATAGAATCAATTGAGATTCAAAATTTAAAAAGGATAATGTTTGGCTATACTTTATTTGCTATTGTTGATTTCTTATTTTTTGAAAATATTAACTTGTATTTACTATTAAATTATTATTTATTGTTCTCCATGGATTAATAGCACTAACCAAGGAATAATAAAAAACGATTAACAATTTCGAAAGAATTGGCTTAAAGAAAGTAGAGCATAATTTAGTAATTTTAATGTATTCTAATGTTTAATTTTTGATTAGCTGGCACGCAGATAGTAAAATAAGATTCTTCATGTAAATTGATGAAACAAGAAAAATTGAATAGAAAAGAATCAATTGATTCATCCTTAAATTCTCGCTCATCATTCTTAAAATAAAAAAAGTTTTTTATTTACTTTTAAAAGTAGAAAAAAAAAAGATAAAGAAATAGATGGCTATGAAGAGTATAATTTAAATTCATCAGATTATTCAGAAGAAACTATATTAACCATTCAATTTGTTTCATATGAATCAAGAAAAACATCAAAAAAGTTTATTGAGACTCTTAATGAAAAAACTTAGAATATAAATTCAGACTTTGATTAAGCAATAAAGGAAGCATAAGATAAAGATAAATTAATGAAATTTGCTGATCTATTTGCTTTAGAGTTAGAAGAACTATAAGAAAATGAAATAGCACACAAGAAGATTATTAAAAGATATGAAAAACAATATCAGCGTAATCCATTTTAAGATCCATATTATATATAGCTAGTACCTTTAACAGGATTAAGTCGATTAAAATTTGAATTAAAGGTAATTGTATATATAAAATTCTTAGAAATATTAAGATAATGTTTAATTTTTATAAATTCGCAAATTTGTTGTATTTGCATCCTTAATATTTCCTATCTTAGCAAAAGATATGATGAATAGTAGAATATATAAAATATTGATGACAATCCTAATATTATTTAATGTTTTTTTATTTATAGTCGTTAAAACATAGCATAGAGAGGATACTTTTTAAATAGAATAGACAGTAACTATATTATTTATTATTGAAATTTTGATAAGAATCTTTGTTTCAGGGTTTTTTTTTACAAAGAATGCATTTTTTAGAAATATTTAGGATATTTATGATTTTACATTGATTTTTGCAACTACTATCAATCTATATTATCCTGAGATATTTATAATAGATATTTCACCATTGAGAATGATTACATTATTATTTTATCTAGGAGATATATTTGTAGGATTAGGTGTTATGCTTTTAGCATTAAAATAATCAATTAAATTTTTACTGGAAGCTTTGATGATAGTTGGATTATTTTCATTATTTTTTGCAATATGTGGAGTATTTCTATTTTAAGGATTATTTAATTTCAGATGTGTATATGATAACGGTGATGAAACAGATGGTTGGATATAATGTCATTAAAATTAATGTTATGAATATGGAATGACTTGTAAATATTCTGAAGAAACACCTAAATTACCAACATCTTTTAATAATGTGATATATTCTTATGGTTAAATTTTAAGAACAATAACAATGGATGATTGGAGTTGGGTGATGTTTTTTACAATGAGAATATTTCATCCTTAAATATGGATATATTATTTATTAATTATATTTGTTGGTGGATTTTTTGGATTTAATTTAGTTATAGCGGTATTGAAAACTCATTATGCAGAAGCTGCTGAAGAAAGTGATAAATAATAAGAAAAAGCTAGAATTGATAAATTAATTAAAGATAATTAAGAATATCCTGAAAGAGAATTAATTAATGTTTTTGATGTGGCTTTTTTAAGATATATTGGATTTTTTACTACAATACAAAAATATCGAGAATCATTTTCTAGAAGATCTGTTCTAAGCTGGAATTTAGAAACAGAAGCTTAAATGAATAAAACTATTAATGAAGCTAGAACCTTATCAGCTGCATAAAAAAAATTAAGTAGTTAATTTGTAATTTTTATTTGATATTTCATAGAATGTAGAAAATCAAAGTTTCTAAAATAAATTAATGGAACTTACAACTAAGAATCTTTTATTAACAAAGTTTCGTTTGTTAAAATAACAATAGAAAAAAATTAATATTAAAAAATATTCTGATGATCCTTTAGAGTTAGAAATATTATAAAAATTGTAAAATTTATCTTTTTCATGTTTATAATCCTAAGTAAATTATTAAATTGAATAATAATTTACAAGTTAACATGATATTTTATTAAAGTTTATGTATATTTTTAATGTTTATGAATTAGTGAGATTGATTTAGCATTATAAGAGGAAAGAAAATTCAATCCAGAAAAATTGAGGAAAATTAAATTTAAACATCAATATCCAGATTGGTAAAGTTAAGTTGAAAAGATTAAGAAATAGGCTTTAAGATCAATTGAAATTAAAAAAAATAAATTTCCTTGTAGATATAAGAAAAATAATAAATGGAAAACAATTGTTAAAATTGAAGATGAAAAAGAATAAGAAACAAGTAAAAATTCATATGATGCTTTTGAAAAATCTCCTGAAAAAAAATTTAATTTTTGCTTTGAAAAGAATAATTCAATAAAAAGAAAATCAAAGAGGTTTACAAAATAAGTTAATGGAGAAATGGTTGTTTATGTTTAGGGTTATTATATTACATATTAAGAAATAAGTGATAAAATAAACACAAAGATTCCAACAATAAAAAATAATTAAGCAAGTAATCAATTTAAATATAGAAAAATGAGAGAAAAAGAACTTTAAAATGGAAAATTGATAAATACAAGTAATTGGTCAGGTAAAGATGTATTAATTTTAAATGCAAAAAATTTATAAATGTTTAGTCACATTTTTCTACAACTTAATTAAAAGGATGTTTTAATATGGATGAAAGGTGTGAAAGGAATGTTTTCAAATTTCAATAAACATACAAATAAAATAATAACAAGTTCAACTAGTTAAACATTTTTTGATTTGATAATTTTTATAAATTTTACTTTCCTGGCACTTTGGAATATTGTTGATTCTACAACAATTCATTCAGTAGAAAATGTTTCAACGATTATTTTATCATTAGAATTAATATTAAGATTATTATCAATTCCAATAAAAAATTTCACCAGTAATCCAAATTATTTGTTTTAAGCAGCAATAGTGATACTAAATATAATTGAATTAACAATAAAAGATCTATTAGTTGATTTAGGGGAATAAAATCTTAGATTGATTAGAGGTACAAAATGCTTACTATTTTATCGATGTTTGAAATATAATGCTATGGCTGTAAAAATAGGACATATAGCATCTATGACTTTTAGACAATATATATATTTGACATTTTTAATGTTTTTAGTAATCTTTATGTATGCTTTGGTGGGAATGGAGATGTATGCTGGTGAATTTGATTAGAATGATTCATTAGGATAATTGCATTCATATGATAACATATTCAAAGCATTCATGACAATTTTTAATATAATGACAAATGATGATTGGTATGGGGTTTATGTAATGGGTAGCGATTTAAATTATACTTTTGCTGTTATTTATTCTTATTCGATGGTTCTTATATTGAATTATTTAACTTATGGTTTATTTATGGCTATTTTACTTGATGGTTTTGGAAAGTATTTAAATTAATCTATAGATAATACACATCTATTCAATTCAGAAGAACATGCTTAATTAACCTAAAATTCAAATGAAGAGTTGGAACAATAAGTTTATTAAACAATTCTAAGTCCTTAAGCATCTTAAACTAATATAATGTTAGAGCAAACTTAAACTTAAGGAAAATCAAAGGTTGGTCTCATTACCAATTTTCTTAAATCGATACGTAATATTTTATTAAAAAATTTAGGATCTTTAAATAAAGAATTATTGAACAAATCTCCAAAACTTTATACAGGGATTGAATGTTAAACTTCTCTATATATTTTTGAAAAAAGTAACTATTTAAGAATTATGTGTACTAAATTAGCAACATCCAAACTTTATATTTACTTCATGGATTTAGTCTTATATGCTTCATTAATTACTTTTATTATGAATACATACTACGACTATGAGGATACTACAAATATTGTTTGTGATTAAATTCAATTGATTATAAATGTTCAAATGTTTTTGGATATTTTAGTAAATATAGTAGCTAAAGGATTATTTTTAGATAAAGGTTCATATTTTGTATCAGTATGGCAGATTATAGATGTTATATATATAATTTCGCACTTTGTTACATTTAGTTATTCATCTAATAATTATGCTCCTATATTTGATTTTTTTTTGTATTTAGGGTATTTAAGACCAATGAAATTGTTATTTAGAATAAGTTGGCTAACTTAATTAAGAATTGCATTAGGATATTCATTAGTAGATATAACAAATGTATTGATTACAATGTTGGCTGTATGGATTATGTTTGGGGTTTATGCAATTATATTATATGAAGGATAATTTGGATTTTGTGAAGATAAAATGAATTTTAATATCAATTATGAATAATGTACAAGAGAAAATAGAAATTGGATTAATTACAAACATAATTTTGATAATATAACAATAGCAATTCCTTCATTGTTTGTAACATCAACATTAGATGGATGGGGAGAAATATATTAAATTGCAGAGAATAGTTAATTATCAGATATTGGACCATAAGCATTCAATAGTTATTTATACACATACTTTTTTTTTATAATATTTGTGTTTATAGGTTCAATGTTCTTTTTAAGTTTGTTTACAGGTGTTTTATATTCAAATTTGAAGGCTAATCAATAGAAAATAGAAATGACAGATGAAACTTAATCATAAAAAGAATTTTAAGAGATATCATCAATAATAATAAAAGACTTTCCAATATTTAGTTCACCTCCAACTAATGGTATTAGAAAATTAGCATCAGATATAACTAACAATACATATTTATTGATATGTATGTATTTATTTTTGATATTGGATTTGATTATTTTGTTATTATTTGAATCAGATATGAGTGAAGAATATTTTAGATCTGTAAATAATATTCATAATGCTTTGACTGTTCTATATGTAATATGGGTGGCATTATTATTTTTGGCTTTGGGTGCTGGTAGATTTTTTGATAATTATTGGAGAAAATTTTATTTTTTTCTGATCTTAGTATCTATAATAGATTTTATAGCAGATTATTCAGTTGATTGGATAATGATTTATTATAAATCAACTCCTCATGATAGAGGTTATTAATTATTGAGATTATTTTTCTCTTTAAGAAGTTTAAGAGTTATTTTGATATTCTAAGGATTGATTAATTTATAAAGATTAATGAGAGTAATGGTATTTGCTTTGCCATTCTTAGGTAAAATATTTACAATATTAATGATTGCTATGCTCATATTTGCATTGATTGGATGTTAATTATATGGTTAAATAGATAGTGGAGCTGTTATGGATGATTAAATCAACTTTTAAAATGTTGCATAGGCACTTCTTGCTTTATTTAAATGTGCTTCTGGAGATGATTGGAGAACTATTATGACAGATACTATGCAACATAACCCTTTATGTTTAGAAGATTCAAAATATTGTGGAAGTGTCCATAATTAATATTTCTTCTTTTTATTTATGCTCTTATCAAATTATGTATTGCTAAATCTTTTTGTTCTTGGTCTTATTGAACAATTTGAATAATTCTTCTAATTACAAAATTCACTCATTTAAACTTATGTTGAAAATGTTGATAAGATTAAAACTGTTTGGTGTAAATACTCTTCAGAAACTCAAGGTCAAGCTATGAATTATAAATTTTTATGCAAGTTTCTTTTAGATATAGGCAAACCTCTTGGAGGAAGTAAAGAAGAGAATCTTTGGGATGTTGCAAAACTAGCTTCTTCATTTAAATTAAAATGGTATTAATTCTATCTATATTTAGTGATCATTATGGCTACATCCAATATAATCAATTGATGTATGAATTATTTAGAAGATGTTTTATAAATGAAGTTTTCAGAGAAGGAACTGAATCTTCAATTGTCAAAATCAAGTAATTCAACAAGGAAATGTAGTTGAGATTGATGTACTATAGAAAAAATAGATTATTAGAGAGAACAAATATTAGTCCTAGCAAATAATTAAAGGCTAATTTCAATATCTTACATGACTATTTAACTGTTTTAATTCTATTTAAAACTTGGGAATCATACTCTAAATTAGTCTTTTTAAAAATTGAAAAAGAAGGCAATTTTTCAGATAGTGATGATATCAGTATTAAAAATGATAAAGTTAGTAAATAAAAGTATTGATTATTTTATTTAAATTAGCTTCAATATCTATGACTATGAAGATGAAATGTCCGATTCAGAGAATTTGACTTCAAAACAATAAAGTAAATAATTATCAATGTTTAATAATACTATGAATCAAATGTAGTATAGTAGTAGCATTAGGAGTACTCCTAAAAGTTAAATCAAGAACAGCCTCAAAAAAAATATTAAAGTCAAACACAAGAAGAAAGATAATCAAAAAAATAGTTTAAATGAACGAATCATTGATCCTTCAGAATATATTGGATAATTTAAACATTAAACTACTTTATAAAGTCAAGAAATCTAAGATTAAGAATAATTGCCAATCTATAAAAATTAATTTGATCTATCTCTACAAAATGAATATTAATAAGGTACATTATTAAGTGCTAGAAAAAAACTCTAATGAATATGATACTTTTTAAACTAATTTTTTTAAATTACTAATTATAATATTTCTTTTAGTGATAAATATAGACATAATCACAATTCATTCTAATAAAGATTTCAAGTATATCAATTTAGCTGTTACTCCTCTTGCCTTATAAAAATCCAAAAAACACAAATTCCTCACATCATATCCTAAAGCTGATAGACAAATCTATTTATAATAATGTTTCCCTGTAAAAATTTTAGCTAAAAGCTTAAATTTAATTTCAAATACAATTATTTTATTCTAAATCATATACATAATGCTGAGGTCCATTAACTTCTAAAATCTAATTAAATTATGGCAAAAAAAAATCTATTTAATAAAGATCATCTATAAGTTTCTCCTATTCATATGGCAGATTCACCATATTCAAAAACAATTATATTTCTTTTTGTAAATGTGATTATTTAGTTTTCTATAATGAAGAGTCTTAATTTCCTATTTTCCAAATCTCTGGAATCTCAAAGTTCTTATTTTGATATAATTCAGAAAGTAACACAAAATTAGATGGTGTTAATTCTATAACATTCATATCTTTAATCAAATTAATAAGTAATGAACTTTAATCATGCGGAAATAACACAAATAAACAATATAAATATTAGTTCAATAAACTTGCATCTATTTTATAATGTAAATGATCAATCAATTATGATACCAGTTGCATATCGTTGCATTATAAATCAGCACAATATTTTAAAAGTGAAAATTCTACTTAAGAATCTACCTTTATTTGATCATAAATGATTTATAAACTTTTTTGATCATTAAGATGAGTCGATCTTGCCAAACTTAAATAATTTATGCAAGTTTGATTCTCAAGATCTTTTTAATACTTATCTATATATTCATTTAGTAATGAATAAGATTTTTTTATACTTCTTGAATATCGATTCTACAATTTCACAATGTCAATTCCAATATTTATAAATTAATTGATGTTGTCAATTTCTCCATTGCTTATATTTTTCCACTTTAAAAATAGTTCATTCGTTGTGAAAGGATCCAATTTAGTATTGAATTGGATAGCTTTAGTAATCAAACCATTCAGCTCTTTACCTAATTATTGCATTATAATAGTGATTATAAATTGATTAATTAATTATTTAAATAAATCAATCAGGGTTTAAAAAAGAATGAATTAAACAATAGAGTTATGATATTTAGAGAAAAACTTTTTATTAACTTGTTTTCTATTCCTCAAAACAGTTAATAGAAAACTCCCTAATAAAAACCTAAAATATTTTAATTAATAATTATTATTTGATTTCATTTTTATAAGAATGAAAAATAAATAATAATTTTCAGTTAATTAGAATATAAGGCCATCAGAATATAACCCTTTATTGGATAAATATTTATCAGTTTATTTTCAAAATCGATAAGTAATCAAAACTTTAAAAAGAGGCAGGCTAATAAATAGACAAGGGGATATTCTTGATTGTGGATTATAAAAATAATATATAAGATATCATTCAGAATTTCCATTGGATAAATTACCACTTTTGGATATTTAGAGAAAAATTTAAATTTTCAAATAGAAAGAGTAGTTGAAATCTCAAAGTGCGAATATTACATCAAAACAAATTTCATAACATTTTAATAATACTTATTTAAAGAAACCTGAAATATTGTGGAAAAAAAAAATAACATGATTGCTCAATTATTTATTTAAAATTTTTTTTCATTTAAAAGCCTGATCAGCTGAGACACAGAAATTTTGTCTTCTCTTGTTTGTTACTAAGAACATTCCTATTTAAGTTAAATTAAATTGCTTGATCAGATCTCCTGGATATTAAACATATTATATAAATTTCTTTAAAATGCTTAAATTTTATAAAAAGTTTTTGGATTTAACAATTGAAAAATTATCTTTCCTAAAATAATATTTATATGTTTGAGGACTTTCAAATTCTTAATCATCAATATATGATTTATTAGATAATTTTTAGATGATAAAGGTGATATCATTTATATATTTTTCGAATTTTCTATTATTCGATTAATGTATATTTTTTAATCTTTGATCTAAAATTTACAAAGTTTATTAAATTTATCTTTATTCAATCATCTTTTCAAATTATACATAAGTTTGAATCAAAAAATAAGGGTATATTTTATTTATAGAAATTAATTTATTTACTAATTGTCGAAATTTTTTTCTGATAGGATCTTAATTCTATTCGAAAGCAGAAATAATTTTTTTTTTAATTTTTGGAACATGATGATTTATTATTTGAATAGCATTGGATCTTTTTATATAATGTCTTATTTTTTCTTCTTCAATGTTCTAAATATTATCAAATTTATATATTTAGAATAATTAAGGCTCATCTTTTTAGATCAAAAAAGCACATTACTCTAATTATTTTCTATTTAAACTTAAGCTCTGTACTTTTTTTTTGCTTCTTTAAAAATTGACCCTGTCTTAAATTTTAGGATACAAATATTTTTTAATTAAAAACTCTTTATCAGGTACAAATTTGATAAGAGGACATTCAATAAGTTTGTGTGAATCTTTCCCACAAGAAAAACATTTTACATTAAAATACTAATCATCCTATTGAAACATTAATTTATCTCTAACAGAACAAAACAATTCATAATCTTCAGGATTTTCTTATAGTATTTTTAAAAAGCTTTTCCTTTTAAGTATCATAGCTTTGGTAAATCCAACACTTTTAAAAGTTTCAAAAGATTCTGTTCCTACAATAAAATTTTTAATTCCTATAGAAGCTCCTTTGTTAACAATTCCAAGATTTATTCTTCTTCCCTATTATACACATATTTATACAGAGCCTTCCTCTATATAATACAGCCAAATGTCATTGGATTATTTTAAATCTTATTCAGGAGATAAGAGGACTTCTTCAACTTCTTTGATTAATTGTTTTTTAAATTAATCTGTAAAAGGTATCTTAAATAAAGTACATTAGTCAAAAATCTTTTGATGAGCTTCATTAATTAAAGATTATTTTAGGAATTCTGATAAAGAATCAATAATTTCTTTTTCTTCTTCAGATTGAGAAACAACCTTGTTTTCCCAATAATAAGATAAATACTTCCTAACTTAAACTTAAAGACCAGATGACAAAGAGGTCTTGTTCATGTATGAGTTTATTATTCTTAGTTTTCTTTTCTTTTCTTCTGAAAAGGCAGAAATTTCAGTTATGATTGTACCTACTGTGTTTACACTGTAAGGTAGTTAAATACTGGATATCATAATTAAAATAACTGTTATTATCTTTTCAATATTGGATTATGGTGTTACATCACCATATCCAACTGTAAATATGGTTACAGCAGTATAATAAAAAGCTTAAAGATATTATGTATTCCATGATTATTCTAACATATTAGTCTAAACTAGCCAACTCTTACCCTCATAATTATCTATACTATATCTACCAATCTAAAATTGTATTGAATTAAATACCCAAAACCAAAAGCATGAAAATAAATGAATAACATAAAATAGAAATGCAATTAATTTTAGTAAAGCCAAAATGGATGAAGTTTACTTAGATAAATTCAAACCTTCCTCATAATTAGTCACATAATTGATAATTGTTTTATGATGCACTAAAAATATTAGCAAACCAATATTTAACATATTATTTGAAATGTCCAAAGAAATTTCCGTAAAAGCAGAAGTAATGAAATATATAAGTAATTAAAAGACAGATAGCCACTGTAGTCCATATGTATTATACAAACTATTCTTAATTATCTGAACTCTTGATTACACAGCCTCTCCATTTTAAAAATAAATTGTGTTTAGACTCAATAATAAATCAAAAACTAATATAAGTAAAAACATAATCGAAATGTACTGCATATCATGGAAAATGAATTATTAATTAACCCATGCCAAATCTATCGGAATAATATATAAAAAGTATAAACGAGCAGTTACTGCTATAATATCCCAAATTACCTTTATATATTATCCTGGATGAATAAGTGGTAACTTTTCTAATTAAATAATAATGGATTTTTTAATATTTTAAAAAAACATCAATTATTTCTAATTCAAATGATGAAGTGTAGAGGATTTTCTCTTTTTCAATAATTCTTCAGAAGCACCCTAATCACCAATCAATGATAAATGAAAGTTTGTTAATTTTTTTACTTTTCGAATATGATCAAGCATATTATCTATAAACCTTCTTATAAAATCATTTTTCTTGTTGTAGTTCAATTATTTTTTGTCATTTGTTGGTAAACACCATAAATCAGCTTAAAACGGAGGAGATCGATACTACATTAAGTGGCTACTTTGAATTTTACTACTGATTAGATTCGATTCATTTTGTTCTGAAAGCAATTTGGCTTCAAATGCAAAAGGAAATACTGGTCTTTGTTTCATTATTTTAAATATATTAATAATATAATTATAATATCTCTTAATAAAATTGACAATAATTTAACAGAAATATTTGATATGTATGATTTATTATTATATCTCATTTCTTTTTGGTCATTGACTTTCCGATCTTGGATTTACTTTTTTTTGACCTTTTCATTTTCTATTCATCAATCACAAGCCCAATTTTTGATGAAATAGTTAAGGGATATTTATATCTCATGATATATTATTGGGGAAAGTTCATAAACCTTCCCAATTTATCTCTAATCTTTTAGAAGAAAGTCAATTCTTCTGGTGTAAACTTTTCATTAATCAGATCTTATTTATAGATTTATTAAATTAAATTATCTTGAGGTTTGTACTTTTTATAGTCTCTAATTTAATCGAATTAATCTTCTACAGGTTATTGCTTTTGAATTTAATTAAACATCTATTCTACATAAAACATATCATCCAAAATAGATTTGGGAACTAAGTCTATTTGATCATTTATCAATGCTCTTCTTAATTGTAATTCCCGAATTTAATTCTCTGTTGATAGTGCATTGTTTTTTTTATTTTTTGATATTTTCATCCAGAAATTTGCACTTACAATCAAATTAAATGTTTTTCTTAAGCTCTTTTAGAGTAACTTTTTATGTCTAATAGGTTTGGAAGTAATTTAATTAAAATTCATTTAATTCTATCCTTGTTTTGGCTATTTAGGTCTCTCAGGTATAGTAGGGGGAATAGAATTATAGATAGGCTATATGTTTTGAATATTTATTTATGGATCAAGAACTGGTTAGAATAATTATTCATCTTGAATTTCATAAATATTACAATAGTTAGGATCGATTGTAACTGAATTGTACATTTTATTAGCTTGCATGGCAACTAATCTTTGTATTTTTATTGTTGGTTTTGTCCTTGTTTTGGATCGTTTTACAAATTTTCTTTTTTATATTGATGAATAAGCACATCTTTTAACAATAATTTCTCTATCTGGTATGAAATGAATAATAGGACAATCCACAGTTTAATGCTTATAAGAATTACATGATTAACATTCTATTTTTAACATTTACATTTGTTTGTTATTATTGAAATCATCTACAAGTTCTTTATATTTTTCAAAATCTTAAGGAAAATCTTTCAAAGTAGCTAAAAAGTCTTTTCTTGATAAGACAAGTAATTTTGTAAACTAAAGAGTTCGAAACTTTTCCTTACAATCTGATCCTGTTAAAAATGAAACTTCATTAAAACATTTTCCTTCACTATAATTATTAATATTAGAAGCAATAATATTTTAGTTATTTGGATCTTCGATGAAGGATTCAACTATTCCCTCTTCAATAAAACATAAACATTAAAATTCACTTTTTTCTATTCTTTTAGCTCTTTTAAAAAACTTTGAGAAATCAATATGACTTTCTGGTTATAAAAATTATGAAGTAATCTTTTCTACCAATTTCTTTTTGAATTTATCAGAGAAATTATCTCTAATTAATTTACATTAATTAAGAATACGAGAATTAGCTTCATATATCAATTTTTCTTTTAAGGTTTAACTTAACTAATCAATTATTTCTTATTCAGCTTAACTTTCTTCATCTTATTATTTATTCCAATAATAACTTAAATACTATCTAACTTAAAATTAAAGTTTAAAATTAATTTATTTATTTGCCATAAAATTATTAATAATACTAAGTTTTTTTTATTTAATCTCCTTAAATGAAGTGATTTTTTCAAGTACAGCTCCTACAGTACTGACACTATAAGATAGTTGAATACTGCTAACCATCATGAATATAATTGCTAAGATATATTCAGGTTCCGTTTTTGGAGTTATGTCTCCATAACCAACTGTAAACATTGTAACAGTAGAAAAGTATATAGCTCTCAAATATTATGTTCCAAAATTAGCATCTACAACTTCTTATCCAACCAACCATCCTTCATCTAAATATGTTGAACCATAATACCCAACCTTTAATTATAATAATAATTAATTACCCAAAACCATAAACAACCAAATATATGTATTACATAACAAACTAAACATAATAATTTGACAAGCTCTACAATAGAACTGCCATACTCAGATAGATTTAAAGCGTCTTCTAATTATTCTCGTATCTTCATGATGTTTCGATATTACACTAAAGAAAATAATAATAACAAATAGTATATGTCTTTCGATATATCAACCTATTGATCATAAACAACTTGAAAGATGAAGAAAATTATTAAAACCACTGTTGATGCAAGTTCGATTCCATATGATTTCGTTAAGTTATGCATAACCACTTTCTTTCTATTAGTTATTATTTACCCATCTTCATAATAACTACAAGCAAATCCAAAAAAGAAATCTATTATTATTAGTGCCAAAGATATCAAAGTTGGAATAAAAGCATAATCATATAATACTTATTCCTTTGTCCAAGCCAGATCCACTGGAACAAGACACATAAAATAAAACCGTGGCAACACTAAGATGCAATCCCATCTCACTTTCATTTTATCATCTGGATTTACTATTGGTATCAAATTCAACCACTTCTCCAATTCTAATGACAGCTTTGTCCACCACTCAAAATTTCTCTTTATACTTGTTGTTGCTTTACTCATTGTTTATTAAATCGTCTGAGAAATTGGTTTTAAGTTCAAAGCATTCGCTCTTAATAATTTTAGATTAAAATGAGAGGCCTTATCATTTATTAAGTTAAAATGAAATTTAGAAAACGTTGTCAAATACTTTTTCTTTTTCATTAATGAATGAATAAAATGTCTTATATGGAAGTATTGGATCAAAGAAGATCCTGTTTTTCCTTTGGAATTTGATCTAATTTATCATTAATAAGATGGTTACGCATCATTTAGTTTTACAAAGTCTTTGTTATCTGAATTCATGAAATACATTTCGTTTTGCAATATTGGACTTTGCAATGCTGCTTTTGCTTGGGTTTATTAATTGAATTATATTAAGATTGATTCTTCAGCAGGTTACTCTGTACAAAGAACAGGTGGAAGATAATGCATTTTTACTTTAAAAATATTTATGACTATTCAAGATTAAAAATTTAAGTTTTATAAGATTTATTTGCAATATTTATTCATTAAATACCAAAAATACATAATTATCTCTTGATAATTCAGCATAATATTTTAGCTTAGATTTACAGTTTTTTTATTCATCTTCATCTTAGAAAGCAAAAAAAGATACAATGAAATTAAATCAATTTTTTTAGACTAATCTCAGTGTTAATTAAACATTAAATATATATTCAACCTCATTTTTATAGTTTATTATAAGAACGGTTACTTTTTAATAAAAGTTTTCTAGTTGTCTATTACGTAACATAAGTCCTTTCATTTTTTTTTATTATACTTGGATTAAAATGAGATTTAATCTTTTTGAATTCTATGTTTCTAGCAGTCTCAGTTTTCTTATAATAATAATTTATTTTTTTTTACTTATTTTAAACAATTTATTTATTCATAATCTATATTGGTTGTCATTCCCCTTCTAGTAATTGAATCTATTCTACTTGTTATTATTCTTTCTAATTTTTCTTCAAATTCTCCAATTTTTATTTCATCTTAATTCTATTTACGATATTTATAATTTAATTTTAAAAGATGTAAAGAATTTCTCTTCATTTTCTTCATTCTCTCATCATCAAAAACATACTAAGTTTTATTGAATTCCATAGCCAAATTCTTAACATCATTTATATGTTATAATGACTTTATAGAAATACCTTAATCCTTATTTCCTTCAGATTAAGTCATTTTTGCTATTATTTCACCTTCATTTTATAATTTTATAAATTTCTTCTATAAATTGTCAGTTTCAAGTTTTTTGTTTACTCTAACAAAAAAATCTTCATTTCTTTTGGTTTTTTCTGAAACTGTTGCAGGAAATTGTTTTTCAAATCCCAATAAATCATTATCATAATGTTTTTTAAAACTTTAATAAACTCACAATATTACACTTCATATAATTATATAAATCGTTATCCTTAAAATTTTAAGTAATTTACAGGTGTATTCCTATATTCCTCTTATTTTATTCTCACATCTTTTATCTTTTTCTTTAATTCTTTTAAATTACCGTATTTCATATTAAGTTATCCATCAATTTCCTTCATAAACTTATTAACAACTTCAACTTGCTATTGTTATTCTTATACTATTTTTAATTTATTAGACTAAAAGAATTTTTAAAATGCTCTATCCTCTTCTGTTTTTGGTCTCTCATAATTTTTTCCTAAATCATACTTAATTTCTTCAGGAAATATCCATCCTCTACTTGTAGTAGCATTCCTAATCAATCTAAATTTAGGAGGCCCTTCCATTTTTTTTGTAGTATCAAATCTACATATTCTTTTTTTACAAAATTTTAATGCCTCCTCTCTTGGACAACTCTAATATTAAGTTTATGATACGTTATCTAATAATTTTAAAAAAACCAAAGCACGTCTTGTATCTGCTTTATTTTCAAAAGTTCGGAATTTTGCACATTTATGAACATTTAACTCGTACATTAATATTTTTTTATTTTATTTTTAATTATATTTCTAATAAATAGAAAACAGATCTACAAACTTTATCATATTATTTAAACAAAATTACTATTATTATCTTAGATTTAGCTTACATTCAATATTTAAAACAATTCTACATAAAATCTTAATCATGAGAAAAATTTACTTTCAAACTATCTAGAGCAAAAATAATTAGAATCATTATGATAAAGCAGCTGAATTTATTAATTAACAACAATTAGAATTAAGAAACTCTTAAATTTTAAATTATAATTTAAAGCAATAGCTCTTTTTTATAATAAATACTTAGTACTTACTAAGTATTCTTCAAAATTTTTAAATTTAACTAGTTATAAAATCTTTAAGTAAAATTAAATCATAAATCAAACTTCATCTATAAAAAGAAAAAAGTGAAATTCATCGAACTAATGACCTATATTAAGACTTTAAAGAAAAGTATTTAATTTAGAATTAAATTAACATAAATATATAATAATATTTCTTAAACTTATCAAAATAGGAAAATATTATGAAAATACTTATTTTCAAATAAAATCTAAATAAATAAACATTTATTCTATGATATCAAATAATTTTTTTCTCTTTTTCCTTCCTTATTATATAGAGAATCAGATTTTGCTTGGAACTCTTTTTATGTTTAAATTTTATTTTATTGGTTTTAATTTCTCATACTTCTCATTTAATATCTTTTTTTTGGTTAATATTTTAAGTTCTAATAATTCATAATTTCAAGTATTAATCTTAATTTCTCTCTTTGTCTAAATCACTTTAATTATTGACTCTATTCTTTCAATCTTTAGATGTAAAAAATAAAAGTAATTGATTGATTATTTTCAATAAATATTATAAACTGAAGATGCTTTCTTAAAAATCCTTAAAAGCTAAGTTAGATCAATCAATTATATATGTATTTATTTAAATAGATAATTTTAGGTCAATTATAAATCTCTAATGACATCTGAATAAAAATAGTATGAAATTCCTTCTTACTTAAATTCTAAATGCAAAATCAAACTTCGATAAACAAAGCTAAGCCTACCAAAATTATTTACTATAGTGCCATCTTTACCATCATTAAAATCACTTTCAAATAAGCATTAATGTAGTCCTAGTAGGATACAATTAATTGAAGGCTCTTAAAAACCTCACGAAAGACTGCCATCAATTGTAAATGACACGTATTTTTTGAGAACAAGTTAAGGTGGCTACTTTGAGAACCTTTTAATATAAAAGCAAAAAAAATATTGATGGTTCCATTAATATATTTGAGTTACTATATGAAAATTTTATTTATTTTATAATTTATGAATAAATTTATAAATAACTTCAGAGATCAAATTAATATCACATATTGATAAATCTTTTCTAAAAAATCTTAAACAAAAAAAAATATGGTATAAGTATTTATAAAAACAATATAAATAAATTATTTATTGATTTTTTTTTCTTCAAATCTAATCTGAAGAATATCTGAAGCTTCTTCTCTATACGAGTTCAGAATCAAGATTAAGAGATAGGATTTTTTATGATTTAGGAGTTCCAACATTTTCTAATGACAACAATGAATTTCGTTTTTGATTTGAAAATTTGTCAACCAAAATTAGTTGATTGATTCCAAGAGAATCTAAATATGATATTATTGATTATTCAATATCACTTTTAACTGGAAGCCAACCCTGTATGTACTAATCACTTTTTTATGAATTTTCTGATTGTTTTTACAAGGAAGGGGATTGCATCTATAATATAATTTAATTATTTATTAGATAATAAATCATTTAAGTAATACCTTAAAAAATTATCTATATGTATTAATTTTAATTTTTAAGTAATTCCTTTTTGGAAATATTTTTAGTTACAAAAATAATTCAATTGAAAATATTGAATAATTTCTTCAGTTATCATATTTTAAGTTTTATGCAATCATTTTTTTAACCTTTAATTGAAAAATTAAATTTTTGTTTTTTAATACTATTTTTTTAAACATGAATAAAATTGTTGTTTTATAATTTTGATAAAAACAAAAGGATTCCAATAATCATAAAAGAACTTTTTTCAACAATTTTTAAGCATTAATCAATTACAAAAGATAATTTTAGTTAAAAATTAAATTTAGAGTAGATATAAACCTTGTGAAATAATAATAAAATTTTATTTTATTTAACAAATATTTTATTAGTTGAAATTAACAATTTCTAATCTTTACTTTTTTCACAAAATGAATATAAAATGAAAGCTAATATTAACCCTAACAATATTTTTGATAATGAATAACATGTTAAAAGGAAAACTAATGTTTATTTTATCATTTATCTCTAAAGAATTATGATTTTAATTTTTGAATAATTAAACTTTATTGTTTGTAATATTTAAATTGAAGCTTTTTAATTTAAGCCTATTTTTATTTTAAAACACTTAATGATATATTCTAATTATAATCTGGCTTTTATAAAGGTATCCAAATAATTTGAATTAAATTCAATATTTCAATTTATTTTTTTTAAATTATTGATCGAGAAATGACTTGATTTAAAATATTAACAGAATGTTATCATTTCTTTCCTAGATAAAAGAGAGGACGAATAAATTTTCTATAATTACTTTCACAAACTCTATAACAGCTTTAAATTAAAGTTTTTACAATTATGATGTTTAATATTTTAGAAATAAGAAAGGTAAGGTTTCATAAATATCATTTTATAATAATTAGGAATCAAGTAAATATAATTTGAAAATATAATTAGATACAATTAAGAGTGTTAGATATTTAGGTTAAAAAAGACTAATTGTATAACTCTCCTTTTCTTGATGAAATTAAACCTATAATCAATAAGAAATCCAAATTCTATCAAAATAATGTTATTTTTTCTAAAATAATTAGTTTTGTGGAGTCAAATTCCTGAAAAAAGAATCATGTAGAATCAGTAATATATCTAGATTAATATGACATATTAAATAGTTTAAATAATTTAAATACTTTTTTAAAATATAATGAAAAGATTACATATATAAAAATGATAAATTATAAATAATAATTATTTTAATTAAATTTTTTTTGATCAATAATATGTAGAATCAAGAAATCTTATATGAGAATTAGTGTGATATTTTTGATTACAATAGAAAATATAAATAAAATTCATTTAGCTCTTTAATGACCAGATTCATTTACATGTTTAAATAATTTTGTTTTAGATGGGAAAATCTCTGAACAAACATTACATTTAAATTTTTCTTATTCATTTTGTTTTTCTTTTTCTTTTTTTTTTAATTTTTTCAACTTAGCTTTATTAAGTTGTCTTGTTTCAATAGAATCATCTTTTGTTTCTTTTTAGTTGTTTTCATTACAAATTTTTTCATCCTCAGATTCACTATTTTCAATTAAAAATTTAGTATCTGATTATTATTTTTCAGAATTTTATTATTTATTATTATTAGGCTAAATAATATTTTATTATTAATTGATTGGATTTGTTTTTTTATTTTTGAGTAATTATTTAAGATGATCTTCATCTTCACTGTTTACATATTCATTATCTACATTTTTTGTCTCTTTTTCAACTGGATCTTCAGAATTACTATTATCTTCTTGTTATTAATCTTATTATTTTTATTGTTGTTAAGATTTCTTTTTTTTATTTTTATTTTTCTTTTTTTCCTTTTATTTAATTTATTATTCAACTTATTTTTACTATTTTATTTATTCTCTTTCTAATTCTTTATTGATTTATTCTTAAATTAATTTTTAAGTTTCTTCTAAATCTTTAGCACTTACAGAACTAACTCCATTCTATTTTAATAATTCTTCTTATTCTCTCTTATCAACAGTAATCTAAGAAATTATATCCTTTAAATTAGATTTATGTATTTTTGAATTTTGATGATTTTTAAATTATGATTCTGATTTAAATTCTTTATCACAAACATCGCAAAAGAATACATCAGAAGGTTTTTCTTATTTTTCTGTAATAACTTAAAATTATTATCGTTCTTTAAAATATTCTTCATTTTCTTTAAACCTTTCCTATTCTTCAAGTCTAGCTTATTTTAAAATTTCTTGCATATGTATTTTTTCTTATTCTTTCAACTTTTTTTTTTATTATTCTTTGATAGTTTATTCTTTTCTTAATTATTCTAAATATTCTTTATATCTTGGATCTTTATTTTTGACAGTTTCTACTAATTTTTTAATGGTTTTTAAATATTTTTTCTTTTCTTCCCTCCTTTCAACTTTGTTATCTTTAATAATTGCTCTTTTAACCCATCTATTAGGAGCATCTTTTGGGTTATATTTATCTGCATAAGCAAATTATTTATAAGTTGTAAAATTCTCCCATTTCAGATAAAACTTAAGTACTTATTCTATAGAAGTATTTGAAGTGCCAAAACCAGGAAGTTTTTCAAATTCAGTGTTTGAATCTTCTTCTTCAGAATCTAATTATTTATTATTAAATGCTGATTCCTCTTCAAATTTAATTTTTTCAAATGCTTCTCTATAAAATGCATAAAATCCTAAAAATATAAAATATATTATTTTTATACCTTATTGATCATCTCCAAAACCAAAATAATGTGGAGAGAAATAATGCCAAATATTAAATCCAAATCCTTCCATAGTTTCTAAATCAGCCTTATCAAGATCTGGATTCAATATTTATTATTTATGATTATCATACCAAGTTCTTTCATTTGGATCTGAAAGTACAGAGTAAGCTTCCTAGATTTCTTAAAACACCTCTTTTGCATCTTCTTATGAATTCTTATCTGGATGATACTTCAATGCCATATTTCTATATGCCTTCTTAATCTATTCTTAATCACAATTCTAATCCAATCCAAGTATTTCATAATAATCTCTCTTTATTTACATATTTCTTTAATATAAATATTTATCACAATTTTAAAGAAATTTATTTTATTTTCTTATTTAACTAAATTATTTCTTTCTTTTTTTATTATTTCAATATCTCAGCTTTTTCTTTCTAATTAAGTAATAGAATGATGAAAATAATCATTTTTTTTATTTTGCTTAGATAATTACGTTAAATTTTATTATTATTTTTTATTAATTATATCTGTATGCCAAAAGTAAAGCAACTTTATGGACTTTCTTAAATTAGTGCTATAAGCAAATCACCAAAGAATACAACTAATAGATTAAATGGTTCTCAAACTTAACCTGCAAGCAATAGGATAAATTTACAATATGAAGCTGAATGTGAAAGAAAAGATTGTATGATGATAAAATGGAATGGGATACAAATGCAACATTAGCTATAGCTTCTTCAAAAAGAATTAGATAAATATAAATCTCTTTATGTGAAGGAAAGGAAAAAATTAGCAGACACATATAAGGAAATTGAAGAAATAATGAATGCTATCACAAAAAAGGAAAAGGAGCTGAAGAAAAAGGAAACGTAATTATCAGAATTTGAATAATAATTGCAGAATTAAGTTTAGTAAAATGATTCTCTAAGTTAATCTTTAAAAGCGTTAAATAAATCACTAACAGAAAGGGAAACTCAGTTGCAATAATAGGAAAATAACTTAAATTAATAAGCTAAAAATTAGAATGCATTAATAGATGATTTAACAAATCTGAAAAGTAATTTAGAATCATCAGTTAAATTTTTGGAATAAAAAGAATCTTAATTATTTGCAAATTTATAAGATCTAAGTTAATAAGAGTAAGACACTATGAAAAGAGTTGATCACATAAATTAATTTCTAAAGAATTCAAATGATCATTAATCTTTAATGTTATCAATAGAATAATTATTTCGAGAAAAAACAAAAAGCATCGAAAATGTTAAAGAGTCAGTATTATAGCGACAAGAAGAATTATAATATTATGAATAATAATTGTAATTAAGAAGTGTATGTGCCTCAGCTAATGAAGCAGCATTTATGAAAAGAGTCGCCTAAACAGAAAGAATGAATTAAAAAACACCTACATAAGAGTCTTATAAGAAAGGACTCACAAGATTTACAAATAGTAACAATAATAATTGTTATTCAAACTAGAAAATGAATAATATGTTTGATAATCAATTATATTCTACATTATGTAGTCGAGAGAATAGTCCTATTTCGAATAAGGAATCCTTTAAATTAATCAAAAAACCCTACCTATAACATTAAATGCCAATGTCTGAAATCAATAATTTTGATATAAAAATTTGAAAATAATTTTTAAGTATTATACTAATTGAACTATTATTTACATAATTATTTTTTCATCTTCTTGATTTTTCATACTTAAATATAATCAACATAAGTTATTAGATATCAAAAGTATACTAAATACAAATTTTAAAATTACAATTTAATAATAAGTACATATAACTCTTAATAATAAAATAATTATTTATAATTTATTGATGGAAAAGGCAAAAAATGTTAGATGTTTGGATAGTAATAATGTTAAAAATCTGCTGATATTTTTTAATAGTTTGATAATCTTTGCTTAAGTTATTGAAAATCTGATTTAAAGCAGAGGACCATTTACTTTGACTTGTTTGATTTTTGTGTTGGTAATGATAATTTATCAAACACTATCTTTTTACTATAAGACAATAAGAACATAGTTGATCATATATTGTTAATATTTTATGATCACACTATTTTCTGTAGAATTACAAATCGACGCTTTGTTTTTAATTTTCTAATAATTAGCAATTTTCGACATAGTTGTTTTCAATAGAAATGAAAAAAAAAAAATAGTTTAAAACGTACTGTTTTTTGGGGCGATAGTTATAAATACATATGTTTTCATTCGAGTTGGATTTCATGATTTACAATTTACTGATTTAATAAAAGCATTATGCTAATCAATCTTACTGAAATTATTATTGTATAATTTCAAATAAGAAAACAAGGAGCAAGGAGATTAGATTAAAGAAAACCAAAAATTAAACAATTAAGAAATGGAGCCTTCAGTGCCTCGAAGCATCAATTTAGAATATGAATCATAAGATTCTTCTAAACTTTTTAAGACCTTTGATGTATTACCAGAAGGAATAATAATACTTGAAAAAAATACTAAAGAGGATTTTACAATTAAATATTCAAACTCTGCAGCAAAATATCTCATAGATGCTGATGATTAAGATTAATTATTATCTGAACTCTTAGATTTGAAGAGTGTATCTCCAAAGTAAAAAAGTGAAGAGCATTTATACAAATACTCATTCAGTATTCAATCTTAATAGAGTGTTAGAAGAAATAGTTTTAAAGTAATACCAAAATAATAACCATATATTAAGTCAGCATTTAAGTTTTCTTAGTAATTTATAGTAGAGAATCAATCGTGTTCGTAAAGATAAGAATTTTTATAATAGCCTTAATCTAATCACGATTTCTGTTTATAATTTCCTCCTGTGCAAATAATATTCCCAGGTTCATAAATGAAAACTGAGAATATGAATAATCCAAATTCTCCTTCGATACATTATGCAACTTAAAATAAGAAATCCTTAGATGATATAGATTCATTCCATTTTCTTTTGATATAGATTTGGATATAATTACATACATTAGTTAAAGAAAAGGTGCTTAATTATCAAAATTAACCTCTCTATTACATACATGAGAGTGATGCCTTCTTAACAAGTATAAAAAAGTTTTAAAAGAAATAATGTTTGGATTTAAAAGTGTTTAGTGCAATTCATTACAATAAACCATTGTTGGTTATAATCCTTAGAGATGTAAATCATAAGGATTACATAAAACTGTTAAAAGATTATAACTCATAAAAATCTAAGACCTTATCTTTCGTAAGTCATGAGTTTCGAACTCCATTAACATGTATAATTTAAATGCTTGAAGAAGTTATTGAAAATAAAAGCAGTAATTAATTTAATCAGCATTGGATAATTCTAAATACATACTAAATCTTTCAAATGACTTATTAGATTTGGCATAAATAAGAGCTGGTAAATTTAAGATTCGAAATACCCTATTTAATTTAAAATCTATTCTTAGGGATTGTCTGAATATGTTTGAGATTTAAGCCATGAAAAAGAATATTTAATTGAATTATTATTATGATAAGTCTTTGCCAACAGAAATATGGAGTGATTTAAATAGAATCAGATAGATTACAGTAAATTTAATAGGGAATGCATTAAAATTCACTTTGGAAGGTTCAATTACTCTCAAAGCTTATCTTGACAGTCCTAATGAAATTTGTATAGAGGTAAAAGATACAGGGGTTGGAATGAGAGAAGAAGACTAACCTAAATTGTTTAAAGCATTTGCTAAAATTGAAAATAAAGAAGCTAGTTAAATGAATGCTTAAGGAGTAGGATTAGGATTATTAATTAGCAATTCAATAGCTACATAATTAAATTCTGAATAAAGAGGTTTAGGGTTTAGATCAGTTTATTAAGAAGGTACAACTTTTTGTTTTTTAGTAACAAATAATAAATCAAATTACTCAGATGAAATAGAAAATTATGAAGATTCAAAAAAAGAAATAGATGTAGATTTAGAGACTAAATTAAACGATTTTAGAAGATAGTCTTAAACTGAAAAGAAATTTATTCTCTAAAAAAATTTCTGTTCTTGTCCTTAAATTTTATTAGTTGAAGACAATCATTTTAATGTAGATTCGTTTTTACTAAAATTCAATCGAACGTTTTAATCTTTAATAAAACTGGATTATACAATTTCTGGATAATTGGCTGAACAAAAAGTTTAATCAAGATTTTTAAGATAATAACATATTTGTCATCCTTATAAACTTATTTTTATGGATGTCGAATTGCCAATATAAAATGGAATAGTAACATCCAAAAATATAAAGAATTTCTATAAAACAATGAATGTTCCAATAACAATAGTTGGTTGTAGTGGCTATGCAGAAGAAAAAGAAAAAAGAGAATGTCTATAATATATGGATGATTATATTGTAAAACCAGCTACTAAATCTGATTTAGAAAGAATAATAAATACTTACTTTTTTAAATGACTTTTTGTTCGATATTAATTAATTATATAAAAATTCCCGCTCTAAAATGCTTCAATAATTATGGACAGAATCAACTAAACCAAAATCTCTAGATTAATTAGATTACCACGAAGAAATAAGTGAGATGTTAAGAAAACTAGCTAAAAATTCTGATTTCCCTCATTTATTATTTTATGGTCCAAATGGAGCTGGAAAGAAAACAAGAGTGCTTTCATTTCTTAAGGAAGTTTATGGATCAGGAGTTTATACTGTGACAGAAGAAGAAAAAGAATATAAAATTAATGAAACCTCAAATACAACTACTTCTTGTACTGTATTATCATCTAAATTTCATATTGATGTTGCACCTTCAGATGCAGATCATCATGATAAAGTTATCATTTAGAAATTAATCAAAGAAGTAGCAAGTTCACATCAAGTAAATAGCAAATAAACTAAAGATTTTAAAGTAATACATAATAAACATTAAAATAGGTTGTAATAATAAATGAAGTAGATAATCTGACAAAAGAAGCTTAGGCATCATTAAGAAGAACTATGGAAAAGTATATAGAAAGATGTAGAATCATTTTGATTTGTGAATCTTTGGCTAGAATAATCAGTCCAATTAGAAGCAGATGTCTATTAATTAGAATACCTGCACCAAATGTAAACTAAATTGCTCATATCTTGGATAAGATAAGTACACAATATAGTTGTAAAATCAATCCAACATTAATTAATAAAATTGCTAATGCTAGTAATGGCAATCTTAGAGAAGCTATTTTATATTTACAATCTACAAGAGTTAGTAATACATGTATTAAAGATGATTAAAATATTGCTGCTCAAGAATGGAAAATACACATCTAAAATAATATAGTCATCCCAATAATAAAAAATTAATAAGTTGAAACTATGAAAGAAATCAGAGAAAAATTCTATTAATTATTAGTTAATTGTATACCAATAGATAGAATTATGTTCGAAATGCTTCAAGGAATAATTAATCATTATAAAGATCATGCACAAAAAACTATTCTTTATGAATTCATTAAATCAACTGCAAAATGTGAAAATAGGGCAAGATAAGGATCCAAAGGCATTGTTCATTTAGAAGCATTAGCAGCAGAATATATGACAATTATAAAATAGTTTGCTTGATATATTTGTTATTTTAATATATACAATGACTTCAATAAAAATATTAGCTTATTTCTATTATCTTTTATTTGATAATTTAGTTTTCAAATTTTTACTCTGGCAGAACTAATAGGATAAATTTTAATTAATCTAATTCCTTTACACTTTATCTAATCCGTATGAAATCGATTAAATTATAAATTATAATCAGACTATTATTTTAAACTTATTCAATACCTTATACCAAACCCAAAACTATAATAGTTCATGTAAGATAGAAGAGTTTCACCAGCATATGAATTCCCATCATTAAACTCAGCAAAGAGATTGTACATTGTGAATTAAATATCTTATATGTATTAAATAAAAATATTCTTAAAAACCTATTCTTACACTTACAATTACAATTAATCAAGATAAGGAGAATATTATAATGTTTCTTTTTCAATTGCAAATTCTGAAACTGAATATTTATAAATCTATGCAACAAATCCTGTTATACCTCCTGATAAAATCGTTGCATAAGATTCTGAATCATAGTAAGGTAGTTTTGATAATTTATCAGGATAACAAAAGAGATATTAATAAGTAGGGCATAAATCTAAATTTAAAGTCTATTGTATTATCTTCATCTTTTCTTCATTTAAATATGTAGATTTTACTAAGTCTGTTGAAATTTCATCTAACAGTACTTATAAGCTGTTTGTTAAATCCAAAAATAAGCTAATCATTTCTTATTATTCTGATAAGTTCCTTTTCATATTGTTTAAGGGTTCAGTTTTTATCCAAAATCCAATACTTAAAGAGATATCAAGTTTTTATTTAAAAGCAACAAAATTTTAAGCAATCCCGAAACTAGGAGCGAATTCTTAAAATAAAAAATAAAATAGAAGAAATCCTAAAACAAAAAAGAGAATCCAACAACAGAATGATGAAGATATTATCATTATTTGAAATAAATCTGTTTTTTTTCTAAGCTTTGAGTCATTTAATTAAATGTAATTTTTATGAATATTTTAGTTAGATTTTTCCTTGATTGTATTTGAGTAATTTATCATGTCATAATAATTGATTAATTTCCATGTATTTTCTCTTAAAGCAATTTTAAAACAACTAAATCGAGCTATCAATTCAACTATTTCATCAAATGATAATCTAGTCAAGATTTAATAAAATTTTTGCTTTAAATTTGATTTAGATTTTGTCATCTGAAATTATAAAATGTAAATTATTGTTACAACTAATAAATTTATCATAAGCAATATTAGGAATGTATCCTTTAGTGTAACTTCTTAGAAAGTATTAATAAAATTGGTTAAAGTATCTAAAAGTATTTTTTAACCATAAAATGATTAGCTTCTATGGAATGAATTGTTATTAAAAATATCATAATTAAAAGTTTCATCAACTTCATATTATCGATATGATTCTAAAATTGCAGTATGAAACTTTATAAAATAATTTGAGCAATCATTTATATTATCAAAATACTTAATGTAATATTTTTTTTAGCTGCAAACTATACCTTATAATTAAGACTGTTGTAATTAAGAAAACCCATAAAAAAATGGTATTTTACTGATTGTATTATTCAACAATGCAGGACTTAAATTAATAATCTCATTTTCATTCAATTATAATTACATCATTAACGTATAAGGTACACCAACATAGAATTATAAACTTTAATAGGCTATACAATTTGTTAGTTAATCAAAATAGGTTTAAATTTCATTATTAACCAAATAGCTGTTCACAAAAAGCATAATAAAAATCCATATTGCCAAAAATAAATTTAAAATTAATCCTATATTAACCATTTTCATAGATCCATTAAAATTTACAATTAATTAAATCATTTACAATTAAGATCCTTATTATACCTAACTTTGTACTAACGCCTAGACTTCAGTATCATTTTATTTTTCAGATACCTTAATTGAATTCTCATTAACATTACTATCGTAACGATTAAATAGATTATTTTCATCTTTATCAATAGAAGCCCCCTGTTCTTTTTAAACCACTTTAATCTGTTTAGCTATTTCCATATCTGCAATCTCTTTCATATCAACTTCAAGCTCATATAATTAGTAATCTTCAATTCTTTTTTTTGAGTCTATAGATGGTAAATGGAATTATGGCTAAACCATCCTTACAGATGCTTGACCAGTTTATAACAACTATCTGTTTGATAAAGTTTATCTATTTGATAAAAAAGGTAATTTTGATTGATTATGACTTACATTCAATTATTGCTTTTAGGAAATATCAACTACAAATCTTCCACTCATATCATCATCTTTAAACAATTTTTCAACTATTTAAGAATGTTAAAATGTACAAAATTATTTAATATCCTATATTGTACCATTATCTGTTGTTAATTATCTTTCAGACATTAAAGAATCCAATTTAGTGATATGTGTAGAGAATGATGTAAAAGGATTTTAAACTTAACGCACCGTATTAGATGTTTGTGTCTTTGAAAAGTCAATTAATTTATACTCTTTTATTGTAATTAAAAAAAATACGTGATCTCTAAGTAAATAAAGTTAAAAATTATGTAACAATTCAATCTGATTATCTACTGAATCTAGATTGTTTTATCTTTTTTTACTAGCATTTATAAAGAATTGTTGATAATCTTTGTTCAATAACTTAATGTTTTATCCGTAAATCAAATTTTATTCTAAATCCATCCTTTAAGATTAATTTATCAATGATTAAGTTTACGATATGCATTCTAAATGGTTTTCAGGAAATTACCAATATGATTTTATATTATTTACAGAATTATTTACAAAATGATCTATATTATTTTTTAATTCTTTTATCAAATTTCCAATATTAGGAATATAATACAAAATACTACTTCCTCTATTAATTATATCAAAAATGTTGATATCTTATATAAATGACTTTTAGAATTTTGTGTACTCAAAAAATTTTTTTGAAATACCCTAAATTTTACCTTCAGAATCAAATAAAACATATTCTTACTATTAAAATTAATTTGTTATTATAGAATACAAAGTAAAATCATCTTAGCTATTTGGATTATACAAATGAATATAAATCGGCATTAGATAATTTTATGGGTCTTAAATGAATGTTAATTTTCCAGTTTTCATTAATTATGTATAACCAGAATCAATAAATTAATCTATTAATTCATCATGAACTTAAGCAATAAAATCAGGCATAAATTCATGTATATATTAGTAATTTTGTAAAAATTCTTAGGAGTATCCAAAAAACTAAGAGATACATTATTTATTTAAATTAATCAATTTTCCTCTTTTATTAATTAAACTTGTGTGTAATATCATATAACGGTCTATTTAGATATTTGAATCATATACTTTAAAGCAAAATCTGATTGTTTATTGTTGTGTCTTATTATATTTTGTCAGACTTGATTAAATCTTCAATAAGCTTTTCAATAATTTTGCTCTATTATTATTATAAAGTTAAATACCTCTTTAATATCATTCAAAATCATTCCAAAATACATTTATAATATTCTTAAGCTTAAGATATCTGTGCTTAGGCACTGTTTTAATTTATATTTTTTTATTTCATATTATTTTAAAATAAAATTTCTACATAGAAAGATATTATTGGTATAGTCATCAACTTATTCTAAAATTTCGATTTATTAAGAAAATCCTTTTCTAAGAGATTCTAATAAAACGATTTTACTTTAAACTACTTTTTCGATATACTCTATTGCATTATCGCTATTTACAAGAGCTTAGACTATTGTTTGATTATCCATATTATTTATCGACTAAACTCGACCATTAAAGTAGGACTAATTAATATTAATTATATAATTTAATTGCTTTTGAAATGATTAAGCATATGCTTTATCATAAATATTGTATATTTTATAATATTTCATAAATGAAATAAGTGTTTTTTGAGGTTTGGTTTGTAAATCATAATTGCATAAAATTTAAATCAGCATTTTCTATTTAAAGTGACAGTATCTAATTAAATAATAAAGAATATCCTATTAATTAGTAAAAACAAAACCAGGTTTATTTTTTTTATTTTTACTTTTTTAATTTTATTAAAAGCTCTTATGAAATAAAGATTACTATAACAAAATTTTTGATGTTTTTTCAGATTAATTAAATAAAAGCTCATAAATTTAACATTTTTAGAGAGAAATTTCAAATTACAACAAATGCTTTTCATAAATTAAAGATTCTAATTTTTAGATTAATTATAAAGCAAAACTCAAAATTAATAGTGAGTATATCATTTCAATATTGAATGACAATGCAGTCAAATAGATAATTTATGTTATATTATAATAAACCAAAAATCTACTGTTGTGATTATATGAATTAAAATTCATCCCTAATTTAATAATTTATTTTATCATAATTAAAATATAAGAAGAAATTTTAGAAATTTCATTCAATCCAATAGATAAAATTAGAATTAAATGACACAATATTTCTAATTTAAGATTATTAGCTCTTATTAATCCTTATAAATCAATTAATTAAGTTTATCTCCATGAGTATTAGGTGATGACTATTTGTAGGTACATTATTAAGTTTAAAATCGAAATTAAATAAATATAGTAGTCTGCTTATAATTTATTATTAAAATAGAAAATTGCCTTTAAGGTAGGATATTAAAGGACATAGTTTTCAATCAATATGAATGATAAGGTTACTATGTGAAGATATGATTGTTTCTTTATAAAATATAGGTTTCCAAACACAAAAAAATTAATTATGATGTGTGTGATCAGAAGTAAAGACAGAATAGAATTGCTTTCAAATCTGATTAATTAAGTAGTTGGTAAAGACTCTTTTAAACTAGAATAGAAAAGTCTAGAAATTTGAATTACTAAATACTTTGTATCGCTTTAATGGAAGGCGTCCTCCATTAATGATAATTCTTATAAACCATTGATTATAAACGCTATTCTGAATAATTGCAAGGCTAATTGATTTCGCTATTAGCAAGCAACAGTAAATAAATCTAAATAATTTTCTACTAGTCTCTAAAGAAATGCAGCAATTTTTTAAGACATTTGAAATATAAGATAATTTAATTTCAAAATAAATTTTCTTCTGTTTACTTTTGAATTTCTTAATTAATGATTTTTAACACTTAGAATAGTTAATATTTAAGATTATTAAATTTTTTACAATTTTCAAAATGTGAAATATAGAAATGTAAATGAATTTTATATCAATGTTTAATCATATTTAATTCATAATTCTCATTAAAATTTGATGTATTCCTTTTTTCTACACTATTTTCGGTTCAATTAAGATTAAAACAAATTTGATTAAATGTATTTGATAATATTCGTAGATGATCTAATAAACTGCGAATATAATATACAATAGTAAAATACTAATTTAAAAATAAATAATTACATAATTCCAGTTAAGTCAAAGTAATCTGACATAGCTTAAATAAATAGAGCACTTAAATAAATACTTTCATTTGTAAAGTAACTAAAACAAGTAAACAAACATGATTAAATATCTTAAGCATATTGTACAAAGAAATTTTAGTGAATCTATGAGTTGATAAATTAAGCATTATTTTTTGAATATTTTAAAGTTTGTCTTTCTGTATTATATTCTTATTAAACCATTTTTTTATAATTTTACATTACTCCTCCTATGCCATCTTATGTAATAGGTAGATAAGAATCACTAGGTTTATAAGGTAATTTTATTTAAGATGTATTACAAAAAATTAAAAACCTTTAAAAATTCAAACATAAATCTTTTCTAAATGCATTTAATATTAAATTTTTCATTGTTTAATTAAAATAATCTGATACAACTAAGTCATCAAGAATTGTATTAAACAGGTTTGTTGAATTGTCAACATATATCAAATATTATTCTATAGTTTCAGTTTAATTTATTAATTAGTATGGATTTGATGGGATTAGATGCTCAGTTTTTATTAATTCTCCAAGTAAGATTGAACTATCGAATAACTTCTTAAATTTTATGTAATTCATAGTCATCAATAAAGAATTCTTATAATTGTCATAGTAAAATGCTCTATAATAATATGCTCCAATCATTTCTGAACCATAACAAATTATAAATAAAAAAGGTATAAATAATCGAAGTTTAGAAGTAAATTTTATATTTTATAATCTTTAAATTGTATGAGTATTTTTATTTTATTGAGGATTTTCATTCGATACTTAATCATTATTTATCAGATTTACCATAGATTTTAAAGATGAATTAGTGTTTGAACAAAATATTTTAGTTTATGAAATCTATGTTTTTATTGAATTAATTTCAATTATGGATAATAAAGTAAATATCTGATTTTTTAATTTGACTTATCCATAAATAAAAAATATAAGGGCTATTATGAATGTAACTGCAAAACATATCTAAATAATCTCTATCAAATAAAAATTAGTTTGAGAAAACTCTACCTTTAGTTTGAGATACTCAATCTCATCATCAATTACAATATCATGAAATTTAAAAATGGTCATAATATTTTATCTCAAAAATCCATTAGCTTTAAATATTGAATAATCATGAGTTGAAATATTTGAATAATTTGTATTCTTTTATACTCTAACCATTTTCTCTCTAGTTATAGTATAAAATGAATAATAATCCATTTATGTAATTATTTTATGATTATTTTTGTCATATTCAATTACATCAACCATTTCCATTCCTAAATCTCGGCTTCTTTTGCTAAGATTTAATGTATAATTAATATGTATGCCTTTCCATAAGGTAAAAGCATAATTTAATTTTTATTGCCTTTAAAATTCAATATATTATGTTAGATTATATAATCCATTTGATGCACAATATCTATTCCATTATAAGAGAAATGTTCCTGCATAAGAAAATGTAAGAGCTTAAGGATTAATTAAAAAATTAATTGATGACTAATATGATTTTATTTCATTATATCCTTATTGCTTATTTATAAAAATAGTACAAACTACATAAATTGTTAGTATTATCATCAAAATTATTTACAATTTTAAATTTCTTGATATTTCCTTTTTCTCTATTATTTATTCAACAATTGAATTACTTATTTAATCATCCATAACATTGCTCTTTTTTATTGATTTTGTTTCTAATTTTAAACTTTGATCCTAATCTTCCAAATGATTCTAAAAATCAGAAAAATGTAGTATAAAATAATAATAATCAAAATTATCCAATTCAATATATTCTAATTCAAATTTATGAGATGACAAATTTTATAATTAATTTAATTGCTGCTGAATTATTTCAAACTGCATGGAAAATCTTGGATTTAACAATTGTATTTTATTTTTCATTTTGTTTTAAGTTTCATTGAAAATTAATTTTGGAGAGGTTGATTGCTTGACTTTATTTTACTGATGAGATTCTTCTTTGATATTGAAATTTATTCTCAACTATAGACAATCCTCATAGTTAAGGTTCTTTGCAAAATAAGATGAAAATTCAACCTAATTATATTATTAAAATGAAGTAAGCTAAAGAACTTAATATTCAATTTCTGGAATATAAAATTATACCATTGCTTTTTCTAAAAAAACTTATTAAGTTATTTCTTAGGGATTATTTTCATCAAGATTCTATAACTCATTGAAGAGTAATTCTGAAATTCCAAAAATCTTTCCAAATTAATCAAATAATAGATAATTATTATTATCATCAATTTCGATTATATTATTAATTATTAAGTCATTATCTACAATTTCATGATAAAAAGAAATTCTACAGGAAATAATAGAATTATTTTTTAATAAAAAAGTCTTTATCTAATATTTCTCTACAAATTCATTTTCTACATAATTATTTAATGATTATTGATAATAACCTCTTAAAAATACTGGGAATAAATCTAAAATATTTTCTAAATACTAATCTTTAAAATATTCTTCTAAATATTTTGCTTTTGGATTTAAAATAATCCATTTTTTTTTTAAATAACTTACTTTAATAAGAAAGATTTAATCTAAAATAAAAAGGTACAATTACTTTTTGATAATTTTAAATTGAAATTTCGATCCCATCCTTATAATTCTTTAGCTTTATGTCCTATTTGTACTGCCTTGAATATTGTTTATATATACCTTTTAATAATCACCATAAAAAACATAATAATATTTTTAAATTGTTTATATGGTGTTAAGATCACTGATATTTGAATTTTAAAGTGTCTATGTTTTCAAATTAATATTAGAATCAAGTTCCTTTTTTAATAATTTCATTTTTTAGCAAAATTTCAAAGTTTAGATTCTAATCATTTTGCTATAGTGTTATTCATTCAAATTAATCTTCATTAAGTTTTAATAAAAATTTAATTTAGCAAGATTAGCTTATTCAATAATTTAGAAGTTAGTTTCTTATTATTCGAAAATTTGAATTAGCCATTTATTCTCTTGTGATAAATTTTTAGATTTTTACTAACATTGTTGCTAAATTATATAAATATTAGCTTTCACAAAAACGAGATCAAAAAATGATATTTTTGATTAATTTTATTGCAATAATAGAAAATACAATTTATATAAATTCTATTCAAAATATTTTTCTATCATGACCCTATCCTAAATCTTAATTTAATCAGAATTATTTTTTTGTAAATATTTTTAATTTTATTAAATACATCTTGAAATCATTAAAACTTTCATAGTTTCATCTTTTTAGTAATAATTTACAATTTACGAAATCAAAAATTTTAATTAAGTTTAATTTTTAGCATCACTCAATTTATTTGTCTCAAGTCTATTTTTTAAAGATAGTATAACATTTAATGTAAGCAAATAAACTAAAAATATTTCATTCCAACTAAATTTCGTTAATCCGGCTAATCCAATTACAAAAAGGAATATTCTTAATTTTAAAATAAAATGACTATTCAATTCAGTATTATTTAGTTATATTACAGTTATCCAAAAAGACTCTATGAGTAAAATAGAATATTATAATTCAATAATTGTCGATTTAATCTTTAATATACATAAAATAATTCGAAAGAGGAATATGATAAGTTCATCCATCTATCTTGAAAAACTACCATCTATTTACATAAAATTTGTTTAGCAGTTAAACTATATATACATTACACTCAATAAAATAGTTAAAAAGAACAAAATTAAATGACCATATTGATCCTATTTAAAAATAGCATATAGGGAGTTTAAAATTATAGGCATAGACTACACATAATAAATGGTTTAAATAAAAAAGGAACTAATAAATTAATGAATTGAAATTTTCATTTTGATGACAATTTTAGTAATAGCTATATGAAAAAAAATGCTTAAAATAATGATGTAAGCAAAAATCAAATAGTTACTGTTTCCAAAATATATTAAAATATTTATTCTATATTTGCTGAGCATTTGTTAAATGAAGCTAATATAATTAGAAATATTTACACATTCTAACCATTAATTAATTAAACAACTTGTATGGTATTAATTATAAAAAGAAATCGAAACCATAAAATGGTCTTTAAAGTAATGTCAAAGGTTTCTCGCAACAGTAAAAATTAAAAATATGCAAGATAATCTCTGGTTGCTTACTGTATTCTTTTTGAAAGAGATATTTTATTTTTTTTATTCATCTAAAAATATAAATAACTAAATCACAGTTAATAATAATAATAGAAATTAATAAAAATCATCGATGGAAATGAAACATTGTAATAAAATTAAATAAATTGGCAAGTGTATACACTTAATTTTATAATTATTTAATCATGAGTGTCTATATTAAAATAGTTTGAAAAAAACATTGATGAATAATAAAATATTATTACTGATTAAAATGAAATGAGTTAATGACAATATAATAAAGTAAAGCTCGATTTTGATTTTGTATAGTAAATATTTAATGAGAATTTAATGTATTTAATATATATTGTAAATATAAAATTTATATTATTGAGCGGTTGAATTGCCTTTAAAAAATAAAATTAATGAAATCAAAGCAATCATCTTCTAGTGTTGTTAGTGAATTAGTTTCTGATGTTAGTTCTGGAGTATCATTAAGATCAGGAAAATTACCAACAGTCACAAAATTAGAAGAGTTAGCTTCTGCAATAGAATAAAAGTCATCAGAGTCAGAGAATATAAATGAAATAGAAAATCCTGAAGAAATTCATTGTGTTTTAGAATTTAAATTAGATTTAAGTATGATTATATAGAAGAATGGAAAGACAGAGGAATTTTATAATTTAGTTCTATAAAATTATTTGGTGAAATAAAAAAAACCATAAGAATACTTATCAAAAGATGATAAGGGTTTTGATGATGAAGAGAGAATTAGGTTTTTAAATTGGTTAATTGAGATAACATATGCATATTAGATGAATTATTCAACATTCTTTATAGTTTGTTCTATTTTAGATGAATATTAAAATAAAACTTAAAAGTAAAATTGATATTTAAGAATAATAGTATATCAAGAGATAATCTCCATTTAACTGGTGTGAGTTGTATATATTTGGCATCAAAATTCAACGATGTAATACCATTAAGATTAGATTAGGCAATAGATATATCTCATAATAGATTAGGTCGAAGTAAGATTTTGAAAAAAGAATTAGAAATTTTTGAATGTTTGGATCATTAACTTAATTTTTCTAATGGTTTTTTATTTTTAACCTTATTATTAAGACTCTATTTAAGCAAGATTAAAGATAAAGATAATGATATCATTGAGATAGCTTATTTTACATTAAAATTATGTTGTTTTGATTATGAACTTTAGAGTAAATATTATTAAAGTGAAATATCAGCTGGTTGTTTATCGTATGCAGTAATGTTAGTAAATTCTAATAATTAAGGAAGAGTTAGTGGACATATAACTACATCATTAGTAAAAATCCATTATTAGCTTAATTAGTTAAATTTATTAAAAATAACAAATGTTGTTAAAGATGAATAAATAGTAATTGTTGGTGAACATATTGAAGGATTAATAGACAAATATTTCACTGATAATTAATTTAGAGGGAAAATTTAAAAATTGATAGAGTATAACTAAACATAAACTGAGTTGTTGAAATCTTATCTTGAAATTAGGAACTAAGATCCATGAAAAAAAAAAGAGTATTATTTCAATTATTACTAATTTTTAATAATATAAAATAATGATAAATCGAGACACTGGATTCTAAGATTTGGAAAGTGGAATTCAGAGCAATAATATCTCTTCTAGACATTTAGTTGATATCGATTAAAATAGTGCTATTGGAGGTTAATAGTTAGATCCAACACTTGAATTTTCGTAATTGTAGTAATTAGAAGCTTTACGAATGAAAAGAGATATATTTGATAATAATCACAAACATGCTATTAATTTGGGTCACAAGGCTGATGTGAATGAAGAAGATTGTCTTATTAGTAATTTAAGGTATTTAGATTTGATATTAAAGTGGTAAAAGGAGTGAACTTCAAGGTTCAATAAGTTCTATTAGTTGTAATTTAAAAAAATAAAAACCTATAACAATAAAGACTACCTAAAACAAATCTAATAAATCTATTTAAAATACATAAAAGTTAGATTAAGATGATTTAGTAATCTCTCCTCCACTTTAAATTAATGGAACAATCAATTTGGGATTGAAATCTGATGCTAAAATTGCAAAATATTAGACATTTGTATAATAGATGGAAGAATAATAAGAACTAAATGAAAAAACAAAAAGAGCTGAGGCTCATAGAGATACAATTAAATAGTAGTCGTTAATATTAAGAGGAAAAAGCAAAGAGATGAAAACTGGGTATAGATTTGATTGAATTATAGTCTAAATGAAGTATGGACATAAAAGGCTTTGATAATTATTAGATTGGTTTCTCGTTTTATTTAATAATTAAAAACAAAGACTGAAAGAATTAAATTTAGATTAATTACTAAAAGAATCTTTGAAGTAATATGTGATAATAGTGCAAATTTCGAATATATGTTAATAAATAGATTAATAAAATAAAAACCCAGTATTAGTTTGATAATTTTTTACTAAATATAAAATAAAGCTCTAAAGTTACTAAATTGGATTGAAGCAATATAAATTTTTTTAGGAAAATATGTGAAAGTAATAAAACCTGATAGTTTATTAAAAATTATTTGGGATATAATATTATTGCTCTTTATTGTAGTTAATATATTTTATATTCCAATATATATTAGTTTTGATGTGAAATCATAAGGTGCATTTGAATGGGTATTTGATTTATTACCTTCTTGGATATTTATAGCTGAAATATTGTTGAATTTTAACACTGCTTATTATGATAAAGGATTGATGCACGAAGATCGTAAATAGATAATAAAGCATTATGTTAAAGGGAATTTTTTTTGGGATTTAATAGTAATAATACCATTTTTGATCTCATAATTGGATATTCCATTTGTTAGATATACATTATTGTTAAGATTAACTAGATTATCACCATTAATGACAAGCATAGAAGAAGTTTTAAATTTAGAAGTAAGATATTGATTATTATAAATAAGGATAATATATAGGTGATTTTGGATTTATTAAAATTAATATTTTTTCTATTATTAACAGGACATTTTTGTGGTTGTGCATGGCATTGGGTGGCAGTGATAGAATATGAAAATTATGGTTAAGAATTGACTTGGTTAACTAAATATGCACCTGATGCAATGAATTATTATTGGTTTGATAGATACATAATTTCGTTGTATTGGAGTGTTATTACAACAGTTACAGTAGGATATGGTGATATCGTTCCAGTTACAACAGTAGAGAGAATATTTGTAATAATCGTTACTTTATTGATTTGTGGTGTTTTTGGTTATTGTCTATCAAATATAGGAAATATATTTAAATAGATATCAGATAAGAAGGCTGTTTACAAATAAAGAATAAGGGAAATAAATCAGCATATAAGAAAGAGAGGTTTGAGTTACAATTTATAATTAAAAGTATTGATTAAATATCTATTTGTAATAGGTTAAAAAATATTTCGAATATTTCTTTAAGGTTAAATAAGAGGAGGATTAACATGCTGAATAATTTATTGAATAACTAACAAAACATTTAAGAGAAGAAGTTTTGATTGATATTTATAGTAAAACATTAACCTAATCACGTTTCTTAAGAGATAATTTTAGTGTTGAAACTATTCATAGATTATGTTAAATAGTTAAAGAGACCAAACTTTATCCAGAATAGTTATTATTCTAGAGAAATGATTCACCAAAAGCACTTTGGTTTGTTTTATCTGGATCAGTTGAATATGTTGCTGATCATGAAAGTAATATTTTTATTAATTCTTTTTAGATGAAGATGAACATTTTTATACTGAAACTTTTCTTAAGAAAATTACATAAGGGTATAAATATAAATTCTATGATAATTTTATAGAGCTGTTATAGGAGAACGAGAATTCATCTCATAAACACCTTATGAATACAATGCTAGAGCTACCAAATTTACATAGTTATTAGTAATAGAGTATTGATTCATATATTTATTTATTATTAGTTATCAGCAATTCTACCTTATTCTTTAAGAGAATAATGAGGAATTCGAAAAGTATAGTATGGCTAAAGATAACTTAATATTTAATAGCAACTACAAAGCTTTTGGATAAATATGTGAAATATGTGGATGGACTCATAGATTTATTTAGTAATTTAACATAATAAGATTCTAGATGTCCATTTGTATTTCTACAACCAAATAAAAATAAAATTGCAAGTTCTTTTGCTTCTACTAAAAATAACAAAAGATTAATCTTTCCTTATCGCACCTTACCTAAATCTAACTGGAAAAATAATCTACCTGATGTTTAAGAGGCAGCTTTGGGATATATTGTTTTAAATAATATCATACCAGAAAAGTAAAATTTAAGAATATAAAAGAGAAATAAATGATGCTTATCTAATTAATCTTGGATTTGAATTGAATGATAAAGAAGAGGATCCCTAAAAAATAATTCCAAATAAAAAGAATTCCTTATTCAAAGATTAGAAAATATTGTCATAATTCGAAAATAATTTATAATAACAACCTGCTCCATAACCTTCAATCTAGACTGTATTACCAATAGATTAAAAATCTTAAAATTAAACTGCAATCTTTCTCAAAGATGGTTAAAGAGCTAGTATGACAAATGTAATATATATTTTTAATAGATTATTAGGAAAGTATAATAGATTGGGATTAGGGTAGCCAATTTAGAAAAAGTCTTAATAAAATTAAACTCTAAGGTTTAGATAGAGGCAAGACTATCCAATCTATAAAAGGCAAACTTCTTTAAAATAATAATGCAGCAGGTGATTTATTAGATGAATCATTAATTTAAGAAGAAGTTAAAATATAAAATGCAAATGTGGGATCATAAAACTATATAAGCAAACTTAAAGTAGTAAAAACTAAGCATAGTAATAATCCAAATTCTATTGGAATTAGAAAGGTTTCGTGGTTAGAATTTGACCCCAATTAATATTCAGGTATATATTAATATTTAAAATTATAAGATAATAAACCTAATCATTTATTTAAACAAATTAGTAAGGGGAGTGAAACAAATTTCGATCAATCACCTCCTCCATCTAATTCATAAGAAATCGATATAAAATAAAGAATAGAGGCAAGGGAAAATAGTATAATATCTAAAAAAACCAATAAGTATATTTCTATATAAATTTTAAAGTGTTGATATAAACCGAAGGAAAAAGAGAAGAAAAACTACCTAAATATTATAATTTTTTTAAGGTTCAGAAGTTGATAATAAATCTACAAAAAAAGTTGATAAAAATGTTCTAAATAATGAAGCTTATAGTTCAAGTGTTTATACAGCTGGGGCTCCTAGTAATTCAGCTTTAATGGATTTCAATAATAAATATGAAAATAATGGGGATAATAATAGTGTTCATGTAGGACAATCTTTCGAAGGAATTTAAAAGAGAATACAAGATATTGTCAGAGTCCATTTTGAAATGGATATAGATATTGCTAAATCATCAAAAATCTATTTTCCTGACTTTAATCTTGATGTTGTTATATAAAGAATTACAGTTTATTATGAAAAATTAAAAGAAAAAAAATAAGAGTTTGATATGAGAGACATGAAAAGAACTAAAACTAATTTTACTCTTTTGGATCGTATTAGATAAGCAAAGAACACTACAATTAGGGGAAGTTTTATTGATAAAGATAAGTTCCTCTAAGATAATGATTGAGCATATCATTGATATTAAATTATCACTTTTTACATTAATTTCATTTATAAATAATCATTCAAAAAGATTATTCTAAATATGAGTGATCTGATATTTTTTATTTGATTATCAAATTATAAATGTATAGCTCTTGCAGATAAGACATTAAATCTTCTAATTCAGATGGAAGAGAGACATTTTTGAATAAAAATGTTAAAAGTCTCTATGTTACTAAAAGCTCAAGATAAAGTAACTTAAAACATAGAATGATCAGCTTCTTAACAAGACAAGCAACAAAGGATTTTTAATCAAAGCTAATCTATAAAAACCTAGCAACAAAAAATAAATATGTTAAACAATTTATAGACAAATTGTTAGCTCGCAAATTCTTTCAAATTCATTTTAAAGATTATCATTATAGACTGTTGAATGAAAAATATTCTGCTATAATTTAAAAAGTAGATAAGAATAGTTAATTAATAAAAAACCAATTAAGTAGCTTTTGTGGTCCTTTATATCATTGGCTTGCTAAGAAAATAAACAAACTTCCATTAATTTATCCTTAAAGTATCTATAAAACTATATGGGATGTTTTTGCAACAATTGCAAGACTTTACTTTTTATATATGATTCCAGTTGATATTTGTTGGACGGAGGAATAATTATTATTTGGCAATTATTTTATAAGTACTTTGACAATGATAATTATTTTATTCATTGATCTTTTTATCAGTTTAAATACTGTATTTTATGAAGCAGGTAAAATTGTAACTAGCAGAGTTTAAATAATAAAAAATGTTTTATGGCAATCCTTTGGTATGGAATGGATATCAATTTTCATAGTTTTAATTTTACTTCTATATTCAATATAGACAGATACAAAAGTAGATATAAATACAAATCCTTATTATCTTATTCTTTTACTATTTTTATCGCATTATAAAAATGTATAAAATAAAGGAAAATAATATGAAATGGCTTTACATTTTACAAGACAAACGTCATCAATTTTGTAATTATTCAAATTTATATTATTAATATTTTATGTAATCCATATATTTGGATGTTTATGGTTTTGGGTAAATTATTTATAAAATATAATAGGGAGGCCAATTTAGTGAACTTTATAGAGAAAATAGTTGGATGGATGATCGTAATTTATTAGATAAGCCTTGGAATATTTAATATTTGCAATCATTTTATTATGCTTGTGTTACTATGTTTACAGTTGGGTATGGAGATATTACACCTAAAAGTGATGAAGAAAGAATAATAGCAATAATATTAATTATGGTTTCAAGTGTTTAGTTACCATATTCTATTAACACTGTTGGATAAGTAATTTCTGAGATTACTTCCTAATCAGATATATAAAAAAAAAATATAAGAATTCTAAATACTTATTTACATAAAAAAAGGATTCCTAAAGCTTTCTAAGAATAAATAAGAGAATATTTAAAATAATATTGGCTTTAATAATAGGAAGAAGAAACATTAGAAGAAAAAGCTATTATAAATTAATTATCAGAAAAACTATAAGAATAGTTAATGTGGCAGGTTAATACACAAGTAATTCGAGAGATGCCTTTCTTTTCTTAATTTAGTAGACCATTTTAAAAAGCATTATCTAAAAGAATAAGTGTTGTTAATTTATTACCAGAGAATGAATTTCGTAAAGAATTAGATTAATTTGTATGTTATGTTGAAAAAGGTTAAATATCAGTTTGTACTGAAGGTTAAAATAAAATTCAAATCAAATAAATTATGATTGGTCAAATTTTTGGTTTAAAAGGTTTTGTTTTAGGAGTTTCAGCTTAAGAAATTTATAAAAGTGTAGGCTTTACTAAATTATTAATGATTTGTAGATATGATTTCATGTAATTACTTAAAGAATTTCCAAGAGATTTTGAATTATATTGCAAGACAAGAGATGGTATATAATTTTCACAAAATATTTGGGATGAATAATGTATGTCTTGTCAATCATTACAACATTCAATAATTAACTGTCCTATGTTGCATTACATACCTTAAAAAGAATTAATAATTAAAAGACATTAATTTGATCATAAATAAACAAGAATTAAATTTTAAAGAAATAAGAGAATTTGTAATAACACTTTAGATCTAGAAACTTTGAAAAAGATTTAAAATGAATATTACAAAAAATATCATTTTGATTTTTAAGAGAAACCACCAAATGAAAATAAAAGTTAAATTTAAATTCCAAAGATTATAATTTAGCATTCCTCACCACCTGCACCTTCTCGCATAAATTCTTAATTTAATATTAATATTAATGATCCATTTGGTTTTAATTAAGTACAAGGTTTAAAACATTCAATTAGCATAATAGGAAGACCTTAAAATTTAAATCAAATAGATTATGTGAGGTAAAATAATTAATAAATTATTAACTATGATCCTGAACAAGAAAATTTAATGAATGATGCAATCGAAGATTAATTAAAATAAAGATATTAATAATTAAAAAGTTATAAAAATCTACCTCCAAAAGATAAGGAGGCAATTTCATTTTTGATTATGAAATATAAAAATTTCAAAAAATTCGAAAAAAAAGAATTAAGAAACTTTGAATAAAAGAAATCTTATACTGATTATTATCCGGAACATAATGATGAAAATATGATAGAAATTGCAAACTTAGGAAAAAGAAATAACATTATTTCTAAATTAATGCCTTATTTGCTCTTTCCAAATGTATTTTTCTAAAGATTTTAAAAGAAGTTATATTGATATATATATATATATTAAAATAATATCAAATTTAAAATTAAGCATAGTAAATAGGAATATCATTCAATACAAAGTATACAATTAATTTTAATTACATTTTCATGCTTTTCAAAGCTCTCATAATCTTAATTTAATTTAGCTATCAATTTACTAATATTTTCATATTTACTCTATATTTTTTCATTTTTATAGCTAAAATGTTGCCATTTTAATTTTTAATTTCGAACAATTACATCTCCTATTGTAAAATAAAACTGAGGAACTCTTTCATTTTTTTTAATTTTGAAATCATTTATAAAATCATTTCTTGTAGATGATATCCACTAAATTAAATATTCATCTTTTTCTAATTAGATTGAATGATCATTGATTTTATCTAAGATATTCTAATATTGTTATTTCAAATCATTAAGCTTTCTTAGTAAAATAATCTTACTAATTTAATTCTAGGCAGAATAATAATCAAAAACAAAGCGTAAATCAATATTCTCAAAATAAATTTATTTTTTGCTAAGGACATGTTCTTTGCCTTATTAAAAAGCAATAGATATGTTGTGTAATAATTGAGAATCAAATTACTTCGATTAGAAATTTTTTTTCAACAAAAAAATTGTTGCATCTATGTTGCAATTTGCTACAGGAATTTTATACTACAAATCTTCTGGATGTATTTAAGATATATTAGTTATATCTATTGAATCAAAGTAAATTATTTTTGATAAATTAAATTTCTAAAAATCATTGAAGACTCTACTCAAATGAATGCCACCAGTACGAACATTTTTTGGTAAGCGAGCTTTATATAGTGCATCATATTAATAATTTTAATCCTAAAGATATTTGTGCCATTTTAACATAAAATTAGTATTTTAAACTAAAAAGATTATTATAAAAGCTTTTGATAATCTTTGTTAAAATAATTGATGTACATTTTCAGTGTATTTTTAAATTCTCTTCTTAAATTACAAAGGCAAAATGCATTATCACAATATTCTTAATTGTTTAATCCTAAACTGTTACCACAATTAGTTATTTCATTCTAATTCTCCCAAAATGAGCAGGATCTTTTTAAGGCAAAATCTAATTTTTTGATAATTTTTTACTTTCAAATTAAATAATTAAAATTTTATCATAATCATTATCTTTTTAAACTGAAGTTTTGAATAAACATTTTAAACTTGCTCCTTCTTATAATTGAGGAAAATGTTTATTTTAATAACAGATTTAAACAACATGATCAAGGCTTTTTTATTTTTTAAGCAATGGTTTAGCAAATAATTATCTTGTCTACAATTTTATTTAACTAATATTAGTTTAATTAGGTAGTGAAGGTAATATTTATTTTTATGATTTTAACATCTTAAAATTTGCTAAATATCTCTAAGAAATTGAGCTTTCATTTTTTTACAAATAAGGATCGTCTGTAGTATTAATTTGATTTTCAAAAGTAATTCTTCTTTATGAAACTATTAATTTTGCAGAATTAGTTATTAATATAGTGTTTTCAAAATCAGATGTTTAATTATTTTTTTCTTACCTTTCTTTAATTCTCCTTTCAGCTGGACTGAGATATTGGTTTTTTTTTAATTCAAACAATCCTTTATATTTATTCATATTTGATTGTTTTGGAAAATATAAAGTACTTGTTATTAAAGGATTTTGCATTAAATATAAAAACTATTTTTGTTAAATGATAAAATAATCAAAAAAATTAAGACAAATAAATAAATGGATTAAATTATAATTGAGTTTTCACATTTTCTCTTTATTTTATATGCTTTAAGTTTTCAACAAAATAACATCTTATTCACACAAAAATGTAGAGCCTCATAAAATCTGATTTTTTTAAAATTTTATTTCTTTAATTTCAATCTTAAAAATACGAGAAATATATTTAAAGAACAATTAGTCAATAAAATTCTTATATTTTTATTGTCTAAATAGTCCAATTCTTTGAAAATATATTTATAAATTTATAATGAAGGCTATTTCAAGTTTTCAAGATCAAGAAATTACTTATCTAACTAAAAAAAACCTCTAAAAAGTAAGTCTGATTAATGGTTCTTTTAATAAAATTGAAAAAGTCGATTTTGATTCAAAATTTCAGATAATTTAAATATTTGTTTAAGAAATAAACTTTTTAGAAATATTTTAAAAAAAATATATAATTATGGGTTGTTATTAATCCAAGAAAGTTCTAAAAGAATCTTCTATTTCAATAAAAGAGAAGGTTGCCCAATAATATGATCCAAATAGTATGATATGAATTTAAAGTTAGAAAAAGAGACACAATATTTAGTTATTATAAATGGAATTCTTTTTGACGCTCTTAATCCTGATGAGTGATACTTTTTTTACTTCTTTTGTAAAACCTACATAAGGTATATGAATGATTATTTACCATATTTAAGATAAAAAAATATTATAGTCATATAAACTATGCAACTTCAATATATTTAATAAAGACCAACAATATTATCTATATACTTACTTGTGAGTTATATAGATATATATTATGCTCTTATATATTTTGATTATCATTTACTTTAATGTTTATTTTTCTTCTCTCAACATGGCCAATTTGTTTCATAGGATAAAAGTAAACTTTATTGTAATTGTTTAAAGAAAACTAAGGATAAATTTTAAACTATTTAGAAACTTATTTAATAGGAATTAGAGATGCAAAATTTTTAATGTGAATGAAAACTGACTATTATTAGGAACAAATAAAATTATATGACATTTGTTTATTTTAATCCATTTGTTTAATTAATTAATATATTTTTATTTTTATTTGTTATGAATTTCTGAAAATCAAAATTTAATTGAAATATGTCAATACAAAAGATAAAAAGAATTGTAATTAGATAAATAAAAGAAAATTTGGTCTAATATAGATTAAATTTTATTTGATAATATTCTACATTTATATCTAATAACTAAACTTGATTTAAAAAGAATTAAAGTATATGATGAATAAAAATTCCATTGATTGTAAATATTGAATGAAGAAAATAAATATGAAATAAATATGAAATTTTTTTAATTAATAATTATTATATAATAATGAATATGAATTAAACAAAATTGGATTGCTATAATAAAACTCAAACAGCAGGAAGTGTAGCTAAAGGAGCAAATACTTTTGTTTCTGGAACATTAATGTCAAATTGGCATGAAGAAGCATAATTAAAAGAGGATACTGGTTTTGGAAGAGCCCCTGTTCCTTAACATATAAAAAAGAAGCATGCTGATTTGATGTTAAAACCTCCCGAAGAAATTTCTCTTTATAAAGAACAAGTAAATTAGCTAGATACAACAACTCGTTTATTTGGTAAAATATAACCTGATATTCCAAAACCAGCTTCCTAAAAGTAATAATTATATATATAAAAAGCGTTGGAGGCAATATAAATAGGGCTGATTTAATACCTAAAGTTGGAAAGAAAGCCTAATTAATAGAATAATAATATTTATAATAAATTTAGACAGAATTAGACTCTCGTGAGGCAGACAGTTTCAGTTAAACATAATAGAGATATTTTGA